TTTAGAGTGGAATGATAGCTTTACATTAACACAGCACGCATATAAATGATTCACATCCTATGAGCAGCATTCTCTCTGAAATAAATTTAAACATCGTTGCGCACTTATTTAATTTAAAAAAACTATAAATATTTAACCTTTAAGCTGATATTAACGTTGACACATTACGTGGAGTTTGAAATTTTTCATTGCTCTGTTGAATGACGAAAGCTATATTGCTTCTATCTTAGCCATGAAAACCGGTCTTGTCTGTAACATCACTTGGCGGTCAGCTGTCTCATCATCAGTCTCACAGCACGGTTATTGACCCTTTGACCGCGTGCTAAATAAGATTTTTTTTAGAAAACTTAAAATTTTATCTTATTATATAACTCTTTGCATAAGATTCAAAATTCCGCAATAAATACATTGTAAACGCCACATAGACATAATCTGTACTTACCGTCGGACCACGTAGACCTTCATAGATGACTACCCTCCGTAATAATCTCTTAAGAGGTTATTATAAAAAACACTTTAAAAAGTCGACTTACTTTAAATGTTATTCATTAACGATTGGAAAGTATGGAAAAATCATCTTTTACTCTGGGATTATCCGTTTTATGTCACTTCTCCCGCCAAAATGAAGAGTAGTTATCCCTTTTAAATCCACTTTACTTAAGACACTGTTTCTTTTTTTTCGAACATTCAAAACTGTATATCTCGTTAACAAGGCAGTCGTAAATGCCGTTTATAGAATTATTTTAGGAATACTATATGTAACATTTGACGCAATGAAAAGAATACGGATGTTTTATTTCATAATTTAAGTTGTAATTTATTGACTGTGACTCCCAAGTGTTCTCGACATGTAACTCCCTCCTTATACACGCAAAACACATGCCAACTGAACTCGCAGTCTCAGTTTTTATACACTGTTTCAGAAGGCACGTATTTTTCAAATTAAAATTTACTCTTAAATTTGCTCCAGAATCATCATGGAGTAAACATGTTTGCGTGCGTTACCTGCTAGGCAGGAAATAACCAAGGTGAAAGGCATTAATTCGAGCTACAAAGATGAAGGAGGTGACACTCGTTGACGGGAAGTCTGTAAAAGATTGTTTATTCTCTGAGTGAGCAGGCAGAGTGCGCTTTCGATGGTTCTTTTATACTAGTACAATTTGACTATCCATTCAATCTTATATTATTTTTTCCTTTCTGTAGGGCCCTATTGAAATTATTAATTGTCATGCATCGTCACAATGAAGGTTCGATTGCTGTCTTTGTAATTTGACTTTTTAAGAAATCGTACTGTTAAGATTCACATTGACATTGAAGGAAATAACTGTTTAATCTAACAGAATGTACGGCCGTCTTAATCTGTGCGAGTTTCAACCCGAGTTGATGTCCGACCGAAGAATTAGCTTTGTAGCCTTGCACATTAAATATTACCAAACAACCACTCGTAATAATCACGCTTCTGCATATTCCTCATTAGGAAATCGTCAGGTTTCGTACACGTTTTTTGTTAACAGCAGGAATACGGCTCTGGATCATCTTTGACGTATGCTTTGACCTCACTCATTAAATTCGATAACCGTGGCAGTAAACTGATAATCACGATTTGACTGGCTTATGAAACGGTTTGACGTAAATGAAACAGGATCCTTACAGAAGTCTTCGCTCATTTCCTGAATGAAGTCTCTTTATAATAATTATTATAATGATAATGAAAAGAATAAGTATTTTTCCTGGAATATTACTGCTTTTCTCTCCACTGGTAATCTACTCCTTTATCTTGCAGACGATAATCTGTAACTATGATGATTATATAATTTGCTCAATTGCAGCGCCATCTCAATTAAACACGATTTGGGGTATTTTGTAAGAAATATAGTCACGTGTGGTAAATAGAATGAAAAGCTTTTCGTTTTTCTTTTGCTCGTAACAGTGCAGTTGAAATCCCAATAGCCTTCTGACACTGGTAATTATATGCGGACAATGTACTTTCTTAGTATGAACAAACCCTTTCACTTCAAAAAACATAAGATAATAAATCAATATCTCCGTTTTCAGTGGCTTGATACTGCTAAGGCAATGAACGAGGTATGAAATATACATTGGATGCTTTGTTAAAGAAGTACGATGTACGACTTTCTGACAACATTAATATATTATGATATAATTTATTCTTTTGAATTAGAAATCGGGGAACGATTTGTGTTGTATTTTTCTGAATAGTGTGTCACAACAGCCGATTTTGTCCTCTGAGAGGGATGCAGAGAAGAAGAAGAAGAAGAAGAAAAAGGAGAAGAACGTGTTTATTTAAAATAGCAACCAAAAGGTTGAAATTGTATAAATATGTGAGTGCAAATAAAAATTTCAAACAAAAGGTCTACATGAAGATCAAAATAAGCACAGGCCCCTAAACGCTTGTGAAAGAAATTAGAGTAAAAGTTGTACGTAATCTTTCAGTTTTAATTTTTGGCACATTGAAGCTAAATTAAGTGTGATACCTCAAAATGGAAATTCACGAAAACGTTTGTTTTCTGGGTCAAGCTTTTAAAATTTAATATTTCTGTAGATCTTTGGACAGCTTATCCTGGGAAACACGGGTTTTGCTTTCACGGTCTGATCTCGCAAGGTGCCACTTAGAATTAGAATTGATTCCAGTTCACTCGACAGCATATTGAGTGTAAACTCTCTATCATTTTGTTAAAAACGACACGTTTTCGTTGAAGAATTTTTTTTTGAAATAATGATGCTATGCATGGGGATTGAGTAATTATTTTGAGCAATCATTCAGCGTATCCGGACTCTGGAAATATGTCACACATTATTATCTGCAAGTTCAGGTTATCATTTGGTCAGAGGGGATCGTGATCGGAATCAACTGCTTGAGGATGACACGATCTCATTTCTTTGACCATGAAGGAAAATATGGCTGATGTTTTGAAAAACTATAATAAATCACCCAACAATACCGATAGAAACCTCCTCAGCCTAACCTTTAAAATCTATCGTGTAGGTGTAACATGGAAGTCAATGTCAGGAGGCGGGAAAACAAATCCGAAGGAACAATGCTAAACGCATTATATCCAGTAATGCCACAGAGATTACTAGAATGGTGAAACCGGATCATACTGTGCGTGTTTCGGGGGTTTACGTTTTATCTTGAGTGGAAGGCAAAAAATAGTGAAGGTGTAGGAGTCTACATGTCAGTGTCTGCGGGGTGATATCCGCCCGCCACTATTGGAACACGTTCCTTTCAAACAACGTGTTCATTTAAATAAAAAAACCCTTAGGTATGCAGCGCACGAAAAGCAAAATGTCTTCCGTGTGGTGAAGGAAAATGCTATTTAAATATTTTACTTGTAAAGAAGTGCATAAAATTTCGTTAGTTGCTTAGGATAATGAACCACGTAAAATATATATATAGTTTGAAAATACATGAATTATTAGGGCCTACCTCTTGAGATAAACCACAATAAATAAACGAACTGAAGGAAAATTTCAGCATTAAGAGACAAGATATGGAACCTGGTGTTGTGAAACGATGGCGGACTGGCAAACGCGCGGTTTTACCCGTCTTCACCCTCGCCTTAAACAGCACGGTCGCGGCGCGCGGTCGGATTCCAACTAGTCTGCCGGGTGGTGTGCTCTGACGTCAAGGCAATGCATACGCTTGGTCTCCATGACAATGGTCGTATCTCAATGCCGAGCACGAAGTCTATACGTTGCAGCAATGATTTATATGGATCGATTTTCAGTAAATGGAAGCCAGGAGGCTGTGGACGTGCCTACGTGATGTTTTTAGCCAAGGTGATTAAGCCGCCGTGCATTAATCTGATTTTATCGCTGACTGGCTGATATTTTGAAGCAGGCATTGCGTGCTCGTTACATTCATTCTCTCATTCCCCTCGAGATGGGGGAGAAAAAACGGGTTGGTGTGCTGCTGCACACGCGACGTGCACCGGGGAACCGCGCACGCAATGATTCAAAGCGTTGATTAATTTTTTATATATTGACTCCGTAATAGCTTTTATTTAATTATTTGAATTTATTTTACAATATATACTTGAATGTTGCAAATTTCAGCACCCTCACCAACCCCTCTCCCTCCCCCGCCCCAGAACACCGAAAATGATATTAACTCAGACACGTTGGCCTAATTAACGCACTGAAAAAAACCACCATTGCGGTGGTAGGTTTTTCGCGAAACCCCTAACAGCTTATCATGTTGTGCTGATAACTCTTGCGAACCGCGCATTCTTTGAGTAGCAATGATTTCGTTAAAAATACAAGTCAATCCAGGGCTGCTCAGTCGACGATATGCACTTAATGGCTTGCGTAGCTATGACGTGTCAGCACTCTGCCGCTTGAAGGAGGTTTACATTTTACCATATCCGGGATGTTGGTCGATATTATTATGAGCGTTAACTGACCTTTGAGGCAGACGCGAATTTATAAGTCACCGAAAGAAGCTATTCTCTGCTCGGACCGACTTTGATTTATTTCGTATCATCCAATAGGTTCGTACACGCGTGTGATCAACTGCCCCTTGGACTGGTAATGCACGTGAGTTTGTGTACATAAACTACGCATGCGCACAGGAGAGATTAACCTGAACTGAGTTAAATTTTAGTTACAGACTGCAGAGGCTCGCGTCAAAATGGAATAGAATCTCTAATATGTGTTGAGATACGTACACGTCTCCTTAGTTTGTCTACATATTCACGGCCCTACAGTTCACCAGCAATGTCTATGCCACACCGCACTCAGCGCCAGCACTGTTATCTGTGTGATTTACCACGGACACCTTGGGCAATGCTTCACGATTTTTCCGAGCCCGTTTGTCGCGGCTGTGTGAACTACGAGGGACCAGACAGGATAGAAATGGTGATAGAGGCAGCCCGACAGATGAAAAGAGCTCACGGGTTTGAAAGTCAACGCAAGCAGCTTCACCCTCCTTCGCAAGCGAACATGGCAGCGAGCCGCGGCGGTCCTCCTGAAATCCCTCACGGCGAATTGCGGCCAGGTATCCCTGCGGGCATACCAGGTATGGAGCGTTTTGAGGCCCGGTCGCGAGCTATGCTACCTGTTGAATACGTGCCGGCGGGACAGAGAGGGCCTCACGCATTACCATTACCGCACCAGAGGAACAGACCCGAGGAACGCGTGAGTCCAATAACCAGTGGAAGAGGGGGCGGCGGTCACCCACCGGGCCCGGGGCATCATGCTCTACCTCCGCCACAGAGCAGAATGGCACCCAGCTCAACTACTCTGGGACTGATGGAAAACATTCAAGGTAAACGCGAGGGAGACGAGAGAGAATCTCCAGGGCATGTGTCAAGTGGGGATGAGGTATCACGCAGACCTCCCACTGTTGAGGAGCTTAATGCACGGCCACCCATTGTGAGAGAAACCCTGTCTGTTCTGTGTAGTTGCACTCCTTTTGAAGTGAGGTTTAAAAAGGACACTTCTCTGCGTGCACGCGTCATTTCTTTCGACGCAGGACACAAGCCAGGTATTGATTACGAATTGAAAATATTTGTGGAATATCCCACTGGCTCTGGCAATGTATACAACAGTGCTTCTGGAGTGGCCAGGCAAATGTATCAGGATTGCATGAAAGATATGGGAAAAGGTCTCTCTTCAGGATTTAAGTATTTGGAATATGAAATGAAACATGGCACAGGAGATTGGCACTTACTTGGAGACATGCTGCCAGAGCCAGTGCGATTTTTTAAAGAACCAGTAAAGCGGGACATATTACCTGTGCCGTACCTGGATCCTAGTTGCCCAACATTACCCAGTCCAAATGGCACCACTTTGCCACGTGGGATAATGAAAGGATTTCCCAGGAATTTTTTTGATGGACAGATCAGGAAAAGGAAGGCATCGCCTGAGCCAGATTCACAGGAGGGACCAAGTAAAGTCAGTGAGGAACAACATAAACGTCACCAGTGGATGCAGAGCCAAGCAGAGGCTCTCAAATTAACAATCGCTTCAGCAGGATACACAGCCAGCAATTCCTGCCCCTCAAGCCTGTCGTCCACCTCTCCAGGCAGCAACCAAGGCAGCACTCCACCCGATGTGACACCCATCAGTCAGAGTGGGCCGTCTCCAATGGCTGCCCTAATGTCAGTCACCGACAACATTCGTAATCCGTCACCTAGAATGTCCAGTAGCCCAAATAACATGATTCTTTCACATCATTCTGCGCGGGATCAGCAGCTCTTGCTGCGGGGGCGTCACATGTTGCAGGGAGGGGACAAGGCAGTCACTTCAAACTTGCCCGAGTCAACGGTATCAAATGGAGAGGCATTGAAATGTACTTTGTGTCAGGAGCGCCTAGAAGACACTCATTTTGTTCAGTGTCCGTCAGTCGGGGACCATAAGTTTTGTTTTCCTTGTTCTCGGGAGAGCATCAAGAGACAGGGTCCAGGCAGTGAGGTGTACTGCCCTAGTGGGAAGAAATGCCCCCTGGTTGGGTCCAATGTGCCCTGGGCTTTTATGCAGGGGGAGATTGCAACAATACTTGGGGAGGAGTATAAAGAATTTAAGATCAAAAAAGAGAAAGATGCCTAAAAGAATAGATACAGAATTAGATGCTTTTAAAGATAATATTGAATTAAGAGAGAAGTTCAGATATTTTCAGATTTTTTGAGATCAAAAAAGAGAGAGATGCCTAAAAGAATAGATAAAGAATTAGACACTTTTAAAGATAACATTAAATTAAGAGAGTAGTTAAAATATTTTCATATTTTTTGTGGCATATTTTTGGGAAAAATAAGGTCATATTAGTGGCTATTTTAAATTGGTTAAACTTGTTCATGTAATATTTTGTCACTTCATACATGATAAGACATTTGAAACTTGAAATATTTTAGATAAGTATTGTGCCTGTAAACTTACTTTATGTTGTAATGTGCACTTTACGGAACCATGAAAAGGTTTTTGTAAAATATTACTCTATGAAAGAGCATTTTAATTGAAAAATAATGTCTCAAATAATGCCATTAGAGGTATAATTTGCCTTCTATGGTAGGGTTATGAATTTTTTTTTCATTTGCATATAGACCAGTATTTACTTGAATACAGAATTAAGTTTATTTATTAATTCCTTGCATTAGACACGGGTATTTGATATCTGTGGATGAGCCTGCACTTAAATTGCACGTTCCTGTAATGGTATAATGTAGTGCTTGGAGATTTGAAAATGAGGGCACCATAGTAGAGTTTACTTTAAGGCATGAATAATAGTTGTGGGTAGCTAAGCTGGGTCACAAACATGCCCATGTATGAAACCATGTAAATCTTTGTATGGAGTGCATGACGTTTGCACAGTACCTGCGGAATGTACTACTTCATAAGTCCAGGGACGAGGGGCTGATTAGATGGCCCTGGTACAGCAGTATGGAGGTCCACACTGTCAGGGTCAGGTGAACTCCTGACTGATAACATCATTCTGGATGTGTGCGTGTGACTGGTAGATATCTATGCTTAATTCCCCTGCATTATTCCCACATGACTCACAGCGGCTATCTGATTGATGGGTACTGCTGTGTATAATTCTGGTAGCATGATATATTTCAGGAACATAAGATACGATGAGCTGGAAGTGCATTTGTAGTAGACTTGCGTTAGGGTTAGGATATAGGAGATATTGTCAGAAATACTAAAATTTTAACCACTATTTCATGTCCAGACCAAACTCTAGGCTTGCCAAAAGAGAGTTGGGAAATGATTTCACTAAATATCTAACAATGTAACTAAAACATGAGACATTTGAGAAAAGACAAATGGATTGATTTCAAAATGGCTCCTCCAGAACGATGTATATTTGATGAAATGCAAACTATTACTTAACACATGCAAACTAGCATGTGCAATTTCTTTAGTTCCTAATGATATTGGCCAAAGAAAATGAAAAGAAGTATTAGATTTCTTCATTTTTCATCTCGCTATCAAATTGATTCAGAACTAAATTATTTATTTATTTTGCTTAAGTGGCTAGGATACAAAATGGTCAGACAGGGATTTGGGTGGGCTCTGTTTGTGGTCAGTGGTCAACATGACGTGGACAGTGACTGAAAATGTGGACAGAACTAGACCAGGACAATGTACTATATAGATATATATTTATGTATACATAAATCACAGAACATGTACAGACCTTGAAACTATTTTTTTTTTTTGTTGTTGTGATGTGACAACGTGCTGGAATGTCACAAACAATAAAGCATACAACCAAAGGGTTGCCCAACACTGGGCGAGTTGTAGCTCTAACAATGCAATGTGCTGAGAACAGGAAAGAGGGATCGAATTCTTTGACACATATTCTTTCTCTGGCCAACCCAGCCAGACTGTTGTAAGATTGTGCAGTAATCTATATTGTCCTGTATTCAGTAACTATAAGTGGAAAATTTAACAGGTGTTAACTTCAGGATGAGTTATTTTTTACTGGTTCTTAAAATTCCTGTTCCTCTTTTAGTGAAGTGTTATGTGGTTTACCTGTGTATGTCATTTGGCTTCTTATGTGATTTTTTTAATAGTTTGGTTTTTGTCAGTGCTCTTGTTTTTTATGGCTAGTATTGCATATTTATGGGTGCAAATAAGAAATTATCTAGCTTAAAGATACTACATTTGTATTGAACATATGGAGAAAATACATTTTCCTAGATAAATAGATATATGCCAACTTGTAAAACAGACTGATCAATTTGTCATGTGGAGGGTTGTACAACAGCAGCCTATGTTCTGGAACTTTTAAAACCTATATGGGACAATATTGAAAAAAGGAATAAATTTGTATCAAGTATCATTTTGAAACTTGTTTTTATTATTTTCATGTACAACATGATCACTGGGACAACCGATGCTTTGGCTGGGGGGAGCAAGTTTTTCCAGAATTTTACATAAACTTTTGTACCATTTACCTCATAACTGCCAACCTTTATACCCTTATGTTTTATTCAAAATTTACAGGGAGCTTATTCGAGGTGTACATACAGCTTTTGTCTTTAAAAATCCATACCTCATTAAACAATATCATATATTGCATTCATTTTTCTTTCAATTTATGTATCCCAAGTCAGTTGTGATAAAATCTCACCCAATCCTCTCTAACGCAATCGGTCCTATTTGGATGAAATATTGGAAGTATTTTTTAACATGGTGGATTGGATTTTGTACAAGGTATCAGGCAATGGTGCGTAAATTATTGAAGTTTAGTTCATAACCATCAAGTGAACACATAAAGTGATACACATTTGTGGTTGCTCATATTTGTACTTGTATGTGTTTCTGTATTGATAATCCCATAAATATGACTGAAAATTCATTAAGATTTGATTTAAAATAAGGATTTTAGGTTTTGAACAATTTATTTGGCACTGCAAGTCCATGTAATTGCTCTAAATTAATAAGTTGATTTGCATTTTCATGGTAAAAAATAAATCTTTATTATTTTGTAGATAAACTCTGCAATATACAATAGCACAGTAGAATAACCCAAGAATTATTTGCATTAAAATCCAAATTCTATTTCTGTGTCTGCAGGTATTTAATGTGTATTTTATATGAACAAGATTTATTTGATTTTACTTGGCATGATAATTCATTTTGCTTATAACAAATTATCAAATTTACTCTTTGTGACATGAAAAATTACTTGCCATTTTGATTGAAAAACTGCACTTGTTTGCAATTCATAAGCTTATCTTCCAGAGCTGGTATTATGACGTATGTGAGGGCACATGACACTGAGTTATGAAATGTGTCTGACATTGAACTTTAAAAGGAGAAGATATTGGAATAATATGATCCCTGTTGTTGACGTGCGTCATGGTATTAAGGGGGAGGCTGTTCGTGATGTAGAATTACTACTGCCCTGTGAGCTTGTTTCCATGAAAAAATGATGTGGGTGTGTTTTGTAACTATTGTGGTGAAGTGTAGCGACGTGGGTGTTACAGAAATACACGCTTCTGCCTCGAATCAAAATACTGCTTGATAGTTAGGCCTACAGTTATCAGCACAGAGTAGGCTTATCCCATGTTATCAGTCACAGCTCTGCATTCATAAGCACATTCTGTCTCTGAATATAAATGTGTTACTACTCTGACCTTTTAATGTCTAAATGTTTTTGGGAGTTTCAACTCATCTTTGTCAGTAAAAGCTTTTAAAATGTTGTATGAGCCAAAGTAATTTTTATGGCGGCTGAGGGTTGTAGAAATAGCTTTTATTGATGAATAATTGTATTTTTTTTTTTTTTTTTGATTTTAGGGTCTGGCTGACACTGTGATTTATGTTTATCAAAATAAAGTAGTAGCAGTGTTGATTACATTGGGAAGTCTGTGGTTTGAAACTGTTATTTTGGCATCCATGTCAAGGCACTGACTCATTCTTTTCAGGGATGTCGTGACAAACCAAAATCATCCTAAGTAATATTTTTGAACCAGTTTTACTTCTCATGCCTACACTCTTATATAAGGTTTCAGAAGCACAGATGTTAGATTTCTAGTTACCTAAAGGAATTTCGTTTGAGGATAACAGTTAAATGAGGCAGAACTGTTTTCCAGACAAAAAACTTTGTCCTGACAGAGAGCAATTGCTGCAGAAGAGTTTCTTAGGTTTTTTATTATTATTATTATTATCATTATTATTATTATTATTTTATTTTATTTATTTATTTATTTATTTATTTATTTATTTTTTTGCTTTAAGGTACAATTATTGTACTATGATTTTTAACATATATATTATAATTATATTTTTTATTATTAGCTTGAATATCAGGGTCTAATGAATGCCACCATTAATATCAGCATTTGATTGTTGATTGTATTGAATAGTAACAGAAATACTTGGTAGCAAAGCCATGACCAGCACTCAAACCTACTTGTGTAAGGTTAGTTTTTGATTGAAAAGTTTTATATAGATTCTTCATTCAAAGAAATTATTATTTCAGTGTTCCTACTCGTTTATTGCTCAGCATTATTGTTGGAAACATGCATATAGAAGTCACTATCCTCCCCATTACCAGTCCATCCTCTCATAGATTCCAAACAGGGTCAAACTAAACTTGAAGGTTCCAAGAAATAACAAATAACACATGAAACCAAATATAGCCAGGTAAAACAAGTTGATTTTTCTATTTATCTTATCCCTAGGATATCCAGCTATTTGCGTCAGTCAGAAAAACACCAGTGGAAGGAATAGATCACTGTTGTTTTTTTCATGCCACTTGAATGTCAAAGTTGATAAAGATTAAACGGGTTTATAGACAAGAAAATTCCTTTCATTATTTCAGGGCCTATATTTAAGCTGTGTCTCTACAAGGGGCAACATGGCCCCAGGGGCGGGCTGGGTTGATAACTGAGATAACCATGGTACTATATTGCCTGTCTTGGGATTTAAAATTCCAGAGGCGTAAATGGAGGATCATCCATAATCTGGCTGTCTGCTAATGTTTTTTAACTTAATTATATTTCTGGTCTAATTTTGATCGTGACGGATCTAACTTGGAGACCAGAAGTATAAATTGATGTTATTTATTATATTACTGTCCTAAGTACGTTCTGATAAGAACTTGCCTTAGGAGTAAAGCAGGGGCCCTTGCCTTAGGATTATGTATATCTTTGACTTATCACTTTGTTGTGGGGCCTCTAAATTGTGGATAAGTGAGAAGAAATTAAGGTGTCTGTGTTATAATGCACCCAGCTATTCTTGATTTTGTGTAGAAAGGAAATTGTGGCTAATTAATTTGGTTATTACATGTTTTTTACTTTCACCCCCTCTCTCCTTGGCAATGGCATTGCTTATTTTGCACTTCTGATGAGTAAGCCTATGTGGAAAAACAGGTGTGCGTAGAAAATGTTTGTATCTTTCACAGTGGAAAAAATGTGAAATGGAAATTGCATTAATGTATAGCAAGAAAAACTACCACATTAATTTTTTTTTTATTCCTGCTATCAGGTAAGATGAATTTCAATTTCTGCTAGTTTAAGATGCAGGGATGTTTGATTGTTGGTCTTTACCTCATTTTTAAAGAAGAAAAGCACTTGTTTCATTTATATTCAACGGTAGTAAGCTAAAAAAAATAATCATTTGAGAATAAGATTGGCAGATATTTTTACATCATCTTGATCTGACACAGACTGCCCTTTCTTCCCAACCAACCAGGAGAATAGGAATGTGATTTGAGCTGTTTATAGAGCGAGTAAATTAGATTCCGTCTGGTGTTCACAGAGTCCAGGAAGGTAGAGCACATACTTTCACATCACAACTGCACAGTAGTTGCCTTGTCAACAGCCTGGGGCTTAGCAAGAAATCTTTGCTTCTTATTTCCGTAATGTGAGGGTGTAAAAGGGAGGTTGATGAATTCTTATAGTTAGTCTGCAGTGGTCTCATGCTGACATACTTATACCCCTCTCCTTCAAATATGAAGGTGGATGAGGGGATGCTTGCCAAAAGATTTTTCAATTTATTTAATGACATAATTATTTTTTATTATGGATTTATGTTTTTATTACTTATTCAATTTTTGAATAATTTTTTGTTGTTGTTGTTTTGTTATCCATTTGCTTTCCAGAGGATTTAGGTTTGATGAAAATGTGTTCTGTGAGTTGTGAACTAGTGAAGTAAAGTAGTTAACATAATTATTTTTTACATTTTTGTCTTAAAGATTTGTTATGCGGATATTGATGTGTCATAATGAAGTGTCAGACTGCTTAATTAAAAAAAGAAAACACAAAACCTTTAAGCGTACTTGTTTATTGTGTGTGATATAAGTGTGATGAATAAATTTTAGACATGATAAGCACAGAATAGGTTTATGAAATATTTTTTAATAAGTGCTGATTCTTACTAGAAATATTTATGGCAGGTGTACCATGATCCAGGGGGTACCAGAATCAGCATATTTAGTTCCTTTGTTTATCCTTGCAATTCACAATCTTATATAACTATCTTTGATACTTACATATATTTCTTGATTTTGCCTAGCCTGTAACAAGTGTGAATTTAAATCATTCTTTCCACAGCAGTAATTATTGTAACAACCTCTTCCATACACAATAAAATGGACTTTTTGCATGTTGCCATGACATAAAGTGATGTGATGCACTATAGCTTATAGGTATTCTGTGGATAGTGCCTGGAGAACCTGCGCTACTCGGCGGAGACGGGGAGATCCTCGCACTGCATGTAACAACGGCAAACGTGGCGTGACTTACAGAAATGGGGGTTGATTGTGGTCATGCATGTGGGAATTCCCGAGAGGATGACAGGAAAATAATGTTACATGAAAATTGTTAGTTCATGTCTACTGTGCTTAGGTTAATGATGTTGCTGGCTAAATGTTGCGGTATTGGAGCTTAGAAGGTTTGGGTTCGTGAGCACGGTTAAACTAACCTTTCAAATGATTTCGTTTAGAAAGCTAAAATAAAAAATTTGAATAAATAGATGAAATCAAGGTACTAATTTTCATGAATTTATTTGAATATGAAATATTTACAAATGCAGCATAGAAACAATCCTTGCCAAGTATTAGATCAAAGGATGACTGAAATACAAATGAACCTGAATATGAATTTGTAACTTAGCATTTCATATTCTTTTATGAAGTCAGAAAAGAAAAGTAGCTTAAATTGCTTGATCATTTTGTTGTTTTGGGATCAGATTCAGAAAATATTTTCTTGTGCAAATGTGATACTGTTTGACTTCTTTATTTGTCCAGTGCTGATTATATTGATTCTTTCAGAGAATGCGGTTTAGTAATTGTTTACTTTATATGTCAATAGTTGGCATGCTTACTGAGTTTACCTTTATTGGTAGTTTTCTCAGGCTGTGTGAATTGCATCCTTCCCTAATGAGGCAATTTCTCAGGAAAATTACACCAAAAAGTAATTGAGGCCATGAAAATAACTACCAAGGCAATGCCACAGGAATCGGAAGTACTTTTTGGTTACCTATCCATTACTTCGCTTAAGGAAGAAAAATGACTTGGCTGAGAGTGATTTAGAAGCAAACGACTGCTAGTGCATCAAGAGTTATGTAGCAGACATTTAGTACTTTTGAGTTAATAATTTTAGCTGCTTTGATTGAAACACACCAGCAGCATTTTATTAATGATGTTGGAGTTGATTGATGAAAAAATGGTTTTGCTCTTTATGACTACTGTTGCATTTAGATGTTGAATCTATTACATGCATTTCATTTCAGTCTTTTTGTTTGTGTTAAATTATTTCTTTCTACATAAGTTTTAGGTACAAAAATTGCAAGAAGAACAGTTGTATTGCATCACTATTACAGTAGTATAAAAGTTTGTATGCAAAGATTTATATGAATTTTTTAAATGATAGTTTTGTACTCCACTTCTGCTCATCTTCGAAGGCACTCTTCCACATCCGTACATGGCTGTTGGTTAAAAGATGGTTATAACTAAATTAAATGTCAGCCTTTTAAACTTTAAATAAATTTATGACTCTTTCTTTCAGACAAAATAGTGATGAAAGTTTACAAGAGCCAGGCCTGGAGAAGGTGAGTTGAGCCTTATGTAACTGTGCTGTCATTGCGCTAGGTGAGACTGAGTAAAATAAAAAAATACAAATTTCAGTGGTTCACAGGCTCTGTTTATTTGATTATTCTCATTATTTGGGCTCTGATGAATATTTTAGGAGAAATAAGACAAATTATTACCAGAGAAAATCGTAGACTAGTTAGTGATCAAGAAGACCAAAATTTTAGAATATGGGTACTGAACATAGAAACTAAACTATTATCTGACTAATATATTGTGAAAATGCTTAAACATGAAATTAAATATTGAATATATCTATTTTTTTTTTGTTTTCATAGAGAGGAAAAAGTGAATTTGGTTCTGCTCAACCTTATGAACCAGCACCACTTGACCTGTACATGGTAGGAACTCTTATCTTGGATATGTTCATTTATTATATAAATAAGATTTATTCATGGACAGCTAATTGTTAAATGTTGTGATACTTTTCTCCTTCTTTGATTGAAATTTGTTGGTTAAACAAAAAAAAAAAAAAAATGAGTTATTTAAATTAGCACAAAAGATACAATCTGTTACATACAAGATATAAGTGGGTTATTGAAGTAAAATATTGTTTTAACAAAATTGCAGTAACGTGGTGAGGATTTTTGGGATCTCTAAACTTCTATCAGTCTTTCCCTGCATCTTTCTCTGTGGTTTATAAAGTGTCAGTAAACAAGTATACATGTTTTTCTTCCTTGGCCTTGACCATAGGACGTGATGTACAACATAGACTGTCAATATAGACCCCATTCCCAGAGATTAGATCGATCCAAACTAGATCGACCTAACTCCCTGGGGGTTCATGCTAAATAGCTGTCAGCCGAGCGGGCACGAAAGTTAATTACCCCCTTACAGCTTGTAGTAGGCGGGACGGACATTTAAGCTGGATTATCTGACAGTAATCTAGTGAGACTCCCCACGGAGATAGATCGATCTAAAATCTATGGGAATACGCCCATAGAGACCTCCTAGCGCTATCCCATGTTGCTTTCATCTCTCATATTGTGACCTATCACACCATCCGGAGGTGATCACATCACCCTGTGGTTGAACCTTCATATTTAGATTTCAACATTCTTTTGTTTCATCTTTATTTTTTATACACCTTTCCAAATAAAGAAAAGTTGTAGGTTTTTTGTATTGTTCTGTGGAAACTTATTTTGCCTATCAATTACATTGAAAATGTCATGTTTCATATTTCCAAAGAGTCATTTTATTTGTACAACTTTCCATAAAAATTGCATGATTAGAACAACTTTCTTTGTTTTATATATATGAAATGCTGATTACACCATTTTAGTGTATTTTTTTATGATTGCATTTTTGCATACTTTCCTTTTCTTGACATCATCTATATAACCTTCACATTTTACCAAAATATCTGTAACCATCATCACTTTGGCCAATTTTCATGTAATTTTATAAGACAAAATCTGAAAGTCTGCAAAGCTTTGTTTAACATCTTTGATCATCTAGGCTTAAATACTAACTGTTTAAACAAATAATGCTTGGCATCATATCATACACAGTTGTACCCCTTTTCTTCACGTTATTCTCAAACACAACTTCCTTTGTATTATCTCACATACCTAATACTTTGTTCTCCATCTATTGTGTTTTGTTTCCAAAGATCAGTTAAGCCTGTCATTGGAAAGCTTGTCTGAATTTATAGAGCCTTGCCTTCATGACAGTCTGTAACTGGTTTTAGTCTTCTCTGAAACGTAATGTGTTTACAATAAATCCCCATCACTTCTCTTGAGACTTGTAGCATTCTTTTTTTCCAGACTATTAAGTCATGGCCATTTTCACAAACTGGGTCCATCATTAATTTACTCTGTTGCACAGCCCTTCATATTTATGTGCCCTGGGCAATGCCCGATTTTGGAATTTTGGCCAAGGGCTAATTGTTATAAAATAATAATGTACTTTGAAAAAATGTAGAAAAATGTAAAATAAGTGGAAATTATTTCAATAATTGTTTTACAAATTGTTACTGCTTGGAATGAATACAGCTTAATCAATCATATAAACATAACATTATGTTTATGGGTAAGTTATAATTTTTATTTATTTAATTAGCATTATATATCTTGGATATGCCATGTTTAGAAAAATTTTACTTCATTTGTTGAAATAAATAAATAAAGAAAGAAAAAAACTTTACTTCTTTGAACAAATGGAAAAAGTGAAGTTAACTCTGGTATGTGGGGAATTACTAAAAATGTAATCAAAGTCCGTAGAGTTGTTCATACCTAAAATTCGCCCACATAACTTGCAACTAAATTTTTCCAACATTAAAATGTTGGTTTCATTGTTTTGGGTGTAATTATTCCCTTGAGAAATTTGTGTGCATTGTGGTTGATTTTAAACCTCCCTTTACTAACTTTCCACCTACATGTACCTTCCCCACTTTTCCTCCCTCGTAGCACCCTTATCACATTGCAGTCAGCTAAATTATCAAGCTCTCTTTACCAACAAACTGAAATAGAAAGAAAAGTGAAATGAATTATTTTATCGTAACAAAAGACAGTGTATTTCATTGCTTTTTTGCAGGAATGTTATTATTTTTGTCATTTTCTTTACACTGTTTAGGCTCCCTTATCATTATATATGATAGATAGTATCTCATTCCCCTTAACAATTCTTATGAAACGGTCATTACAGTTACTTATTTAGACATTATAATCAGTACCACCTACTTGAATTTGTCAATACAAGTCATAATTGTGTAATTTGTAAAGCGTTGATTAGTTTATGTTCTCTCACCATTGGATTTTCATTAATTTAACATGACATTTAAAAGATCCAGCTATTTGGAAAACTGCCCTTCAGTCCACATGATTCCCTGCCCCACCCACTCCACACCTGGTGACAACTGCTTACGTTATAGCCTATAACTAACTCCTGGTCATGCTAGCGCATAAAATTATAAGTGGCTAATTATGATACAGTTTGCTTATACAGAATAAGAACTATTAAATTTCATTTTCCTATTTGCAGTTCATTAATATCTACTGAAAATTTTGAGCAAATTTGTATAAAAAACATTTCAGCAAATTAACTCAAACAAAAGTTCTTCTAGAATGAGCATAGAATACTGACAGTACACCTCTGTATTATTGTGCGTGCTTAAATGTCATATTTTCCTTCACAAGTTGACATCTCATCTGTCGGTTCTGTCTCATCCCTGTCGCTCGCACTCCGTGACACTGGCGGTATGCTCTCTAACAGACTTCAAAATGGCTGAGTGGTGACAGCTGAGGTGATGAATGACCTTTACTCATGGCTGTGCGGGTGTACAAAATGTTGGAGTTGAAAATGGCATGCGGCACACTATTGTTGCTTTAATTGATGTATAGCTGGAAAGGGTTGGGCCTTTCTTTGTTCATACATATATTTGGTATTGCAGTAAACAAGGACCACATAAGATGTATACATAGCAGGACAATTTTAGTAATGTTAATAAATTTCATAACTTCTAAGTGATATGTCACTACCTTAGTTATAAAAAAATTAGGTACTACTTTAACCAGCTAATTTTTGGCAGCATTTATATGGTTGGTCAACAGTTGGACAAGGTTTTGTTTTAAAAATAAAGTTATGCTATTTATTCTAATTCAAATATGTATCATTGGCTCATAACCTGGCCTCTTGAAGTTAAAAATGAGGTAGGGAGAGCATTGGTCTTCTACCCTTCCAAACAACACATGGAGAATCCAGTTCTTTAAATGGGGAGCTGCATCTGTCATAATACAGGGGCGGATCCAGAGATATTTTCTGACAGTCTTCCATATTATATCTGTTGATCCATCCTCCATTTTTTGACCGTCTTCTGACAGAAAAAATTAGATACCCATCAATGTAAACTTGAAAATCTGACCGTCTTCCGGAGGACCCAGAAGACGGCCTAAATCCGCCCCTGTAATACCTGGCAATTCTCCTGTGCTTTGCTCGCTCTACACAATCATTTACCTACTTCTCTTAGTGTGTTTTTGTTTTCCTCAATCAGTAAAATACACTTTCTTGATATGTAATCTAAAAAGATGGGGAAAGCAGGATTTCAGCATGCAAAACTTGTTCACAATCAATTGCATTTTCAAATAAGTGTTTGTATATTTCAGTTTCATCCTCCTACTAGTACAACCACAAATGCACCTCCTCTTCCATCCTCCATGAAGCCAGTGTCTTCCAGTACAAACTACACTCAGGCCCTTGAAGTATTACAGCAAGTACAGAAAAGTAGAGCTCACCTTGAAAACAATCTGCAGAACATGCTTAGAGCCAGACGTGAAGATGAAATTTATTCTCTCATGGATACTTGGACAGTGGAGAGGTGATTCTGAATTGCTATTATATATTTATGTCTCCCTGTAGCGAGGTTCTGAGTTGAGCATGCTGTGCATGTAAGCAAAGTGAGGTTGAACTGTGACACTTATTACATAATATGAACAGGATGGCAGATGGCTATGGAAAAGATTCCTTGAAGGGAATTGGTTCTGTGCGACATGTACATGGGCTTGAAAAAATATCACTGGATAAAAGATTTGCCATAAAATACTGGTTGTCTATGCTAAGTTTACTTTCATTTATTTATAAATATATCAAAATATCATTGTTTTGCAGGTATGCTATATTGCTTACAAATAGCCTTTACATGTAATTATAACCAGATGTCAAATTTATATACGAGAGCGGCCACTTTGAAAAAAGAATTTAGAATTCTTGTGGTCTTGTTGCTCTTTTCAGTTCTGCTGCAGAGAAAACACACATAAAAAAGCTAGTTGATGGGTACATAGATATCATGAATGAAGAGTTGGAGGTACAAAAATGTTTTTCTTATTTTTTTACCACTTCATTATAAATTGTTCTAATGCTGTAAAAAGCTATTTGTTAAGGAGTTTTTTTTTAAAGACAGAAATTGTCATTATTTCATAAATGCTGTTGAGTAATCCATGCCTTTTTATCCTGATGAAATTGATGTATGATTTTACATTTGTTGTTGTTTTATTCACCAGAAAGAACTATTGGATGAAATGGCAAAGCTGAAGACTCATGGAGGTGTATCTTTTGAGGAACCTGTGAAGGATACTGGGTCTTCAGTGAACCCAGCCAGTAAGAAGGTAACAGTACCCCCAAGGGGAATGAAGGGGAGACTGAGTCAAGTTCAGGCCAAAATCAATACAGGGAGGAAGAAAGGAGATGATGAACATGAAAATGAAAATCCACAAGTCAAGAAAGGAGACAAAGTGGCTAGTCAGTCTGGGAAGACCAAAGTACCGAAGGTTAGGGGTGAATTTGTACCTGATGTTGAAACTGCATTTTGGTTACATGGAAAAATCAATTGAACCTAAAGTATGTTTCTTTTCCTGTTATTTTCAGAGATGGATAAAGGCAGCATTGAAGCACAAGAAAAGAAATTATTTATTAAATCATTTATTTTTTGTAATATTATTTTTTCAGATATTTTTTAGTTACATTTTTATCATTATACTGTGTTTAGTTCATGTATTTTTTATATGCCAACCTAAAAGTTATCGTTGTAAGTGTACCATATGATAATGTCTAACTAGATTTATTAGCACTGGACTTTTTTTTTTTTTTTTTTCAAGACCAAAAGGAACACTGGCTCTAAGCCAATTCCTTTCTATCAAGATGAGGAGTATTTAGCCAGAGTCTATGGAAAAGCAATTTATCAGAATAAAAGGACAACTGTGAAGGATCCTTACCTCCATTTTCAAAATGATCCAAAACCAAAATCTCCACGGAGACCAGCAACGTATGCAGCCAAAGGTGATACAAGGTTCTAGTTTTCTTTTAAATAAATGCCCCTCTCTATTGAGCATAGGACTAAATAGTGTAAAAGTTGTCAGACTAATTTTAGGCATATTTGCTATCTAACAAAACAAAATGTAGTTGCATTGAAGACATTCGAAAATTTGCATTTTGGAGCACAAGTACTACCAAGCTACTTTCAAGTGATAATGTGATCTTGACCCTCTTACTTAGGAGGACACAAGTACTTCATACCTAAGTCATAATTTGTATTTTTATTTTCAAATGAAAGCAAATGAGATAGAAGTAGTATGTACAGATGAAATTGTGAGAATAAAACCCTCTGTTTCTTTACAGGAGTTGAACTGAAGTCTGCTAAAACTCAAACTACACCTTCCCCAGTGAAAAAACCAGGATATTACTCCCACCACCTACCACAACATGTGAAACCCCACTATTACTTTGACTCCCAGCAAGAACACCAGAATATAGTGCAGCCAGGTACCTTCAGCTGTGATTATTACGTTTAACTTAAAGGCAGTGGTGATCAGATTGTATTTCTATTCGGTTTAATTAGAATAGCACAGGTATGGCTTTAAGAAGCCCACCTCATCTCTTTCATTTGTATGTCATTTTAACACTTATCATGCTGTCCACTACTTAAAGCAGGAAAACATTTAGGTGAGTGGTAAGATTGTGGGCATAATAATATAATATAATTCATTTCATACAGCAAAGAAATTTCATCATTATGAAAATGAAAAAGAATCATTTTAAGCACTGCAAGGAAAGAGTTCCTTTCATGATTATTTTATTAACTTCATAGTTCAATTGATTTAAAACAGTGTATTATTATTATTGTAATTCTTTATTATGCTTTCAGCTGGAATCCCCACAGCTCCCATACAAGGTCAGCTCATCCCAATGGCAGTGCCCCTCAGACCACCTCGGATCAGTTCTGGTTTATCTTTACCCATCGCCATGACAACCAGTGCCATAGCAACCAGTCTCATTGAAACCAGCATTCCAGACACACAGCCCAAGACAACCTTGAGCAGCAATGTTGCCGTGCTGACAGTGGAGTCTGAAGACTATAAAAAGCTCTCCAAACTAAAGGCACAGGTGTGTTTTTTTGTGATTTGACTTTGCAACATTGAAGCAATTGGAGAGATTTCTGATTTAACCACAGTATGTCTGTATATAAAGTCATCACCTTTGTGGAAAACTGTGTGACTTATTATTCTTAAACATACTAGTGATTATTTGGCACTAAGATACAGTTCGAATAGCAACTTTATTTGATTATTTTCCTTTTTCCACTATTTTTGAAAGATTGCTGCTTATAATCAAGGTGTGTTAATGTCTGTAGACTTTGGGGATTAAAGTATGAGAGTAGAGAAAATATGAATTATTTCACATTAAAATGCAATTTACGTTATTGAAGTTGTAATTTTTGAACAGGTAAGTTGACAACTTAAAATGGTCTAAAATATCGTTGAGACACAATCAAAAGACTTTAAAAAAATTGTGATTAACGATAACTATAATATCATGTATTTCTTATTGATCAGTTACCCACATTTTATCTAGGTCCTGCCATCAGTGGACATAGACAGTCTTCCCCCAACCCCCAGCACAACCACTGAGGGAGATTCCAGAGCAACTGTTCCAGAAACACCACTAAAAGATGACATGGGGCTTGAGGATCAGGACGACAGGAGCAGAACACCAGATGAGCATGACAACGATAATGATGATGAATTCAGAAATTACCTGAAAGTCACAGATGTTGAAGTTGCAGACAGGAAAAAGGTGAGAGCATAATGTGTGATGTCAGATGTATTTTTTATGATGTTAAATGCTGCACACATTGCATGTAGCAATAATAGAGGGATGAAATTTTCATGCAGCCATTATGCTTTTTATTACTAAAGTAATAAACTGACTTGTGCCCATAAAAATTGTATGTAACATGATACCAGTCTACAGTGATCCAGTTTTCATTGACTTCTGCTAAGAATTGACTACATTTATAATTCCATATTTCGCCTACTCTGATCATCTATATTATCACACACAGATATATATTATTTATATATCTGACACCATTTTCATACAGCTAAAATTTTTTTGCTGAATTTGGTTTATGTCTGCTGTTCATGGGTCTAGGTTCTATACTATGTCAGTGGTAGCCCCCTTCCATCCTATAGAACTTTTTTGTAATAATAAGTTTATAAAATCATACAAACTAAATGGTACAAAGAGGATAAAGCATTTTAAAAAGTATACTTAAAATAACATCCGTGAAGCATAGGTTTTGACAAAGTGGTGACAAATGTTGGAAAAAAATGGAATAATGGTGTGAGAGTGTTGTTTTAAACTTTGGCTCTGTATAGCAAGACAGCTTTTTCACGCAGTTTTGGGATTTCTTGTTAAAGATATAGTTCAGTTTATCGAATTCATTCTTGAATTTCTCAAGGACAGATTTACACAGGTCTATGCAGGGGTTTTCAGGGTAACTAGTTTAACATTTTCTTAGGAATCATTACATGGTCACAACTCATATTTTCTTGCATGGCAGCCTGAGAGTGAAGAAGAAGAGGATGAGTTATCAGAGCCAGGGATTGCTCTACCAGGTTATAGACCCCAGTCCTCTGCATACCATGGTCCTCCTTTCCCTCCCGTGCCTCCTCCTCCCACACTGGAGCCAGCAGGACCTTCCTCAGACATCCTCGCTGCCGACTTGAGGAGGAGGAACCTGTTGGAGAATAAGGCTCAAGACTGGTGAGTTTGGATTGGTGCATGTTATCCTAATTCAGCCATTTGTTTTTCACAGTATCTTGTACAAATGTCATTAATTTTTATGGATATTTGGTCATGATAGATAATTTTGAAGCTCTGTTTATGTTATTGTTTAGTAGTTCATCTGCAATGCTTTTGAGAGATGAAACTGAAAGAAAAAGTGTTAATCTTTGACAGAAGCAGATTTAAGGCTAGTTGTCTCTCTTTTTATATTTAGATTAAGGATAATTTTACTTATTGGAAATAGCTCAAATGTGGTTATTATAATATTCTACCTTACTTTTCACAGCAGTAAAAGCCTTAACATCAGAAAAGGTACTGACTTTTTGCGGATGCTTTCATTATTTTAGGATAGAGCAAGAGTTGATGGCACGTCTGATCAGCCAGATGTACCCCCCAAAACCCCAGCAGCCATCACACCACGTTGATCGTGATGAAGATGAAGATCTCTCTGAAGTTGACTCAGAGCCAGGACCAGAATATTGTACGGGCATGCTGGCAACAATGTTTGATATATTATACCATTCTGATATGAAGGGATTTGACATGTTTTGCCGAGTTATCACACGACTCATTTAGTAAATTTAAAAACTCACTTAAAAAAAGAAAGAAAAATAAGAAATAACCCTCTATATCTGTATCTGCCTAATATTGTATGAGCTTCATTAAAAAAAAGTGCCCTGGTGCTTTTAAAAACATTGTTCCATACTTACATTTTAAGTTCTAAATGGGATTGAAAACCCTGTGTTTTTACCTCTCAGTTCATGAGTTTCTATCTCTTCAGTGGAACCCTTGGGTGAAGATGGCTTCCAGCTGTTTGTGGATGCTGGTGTCCCTGTGAATGAGAGTCTGGTTAGTGGGTTGGTCAAAGAAGTTCTCATGGAGAAGATAGCAGGGATGTTGGGTGAGAGAGAGGCTGAGAAGACAGAGGTGAAAACACCTGTACCAGCAAAAAGAGAAGTGAGGGAGCCAGAGGAACACCCACCACAAGTGTGTGATGTATAGTTTTGTATTATTAAACGTTGTTGTTAAAAAAAGGAAGTTGTTTCTGAAGAAAATAAATATATTTTCTACCTTTGAGGCCTGGTGTTTTGGTCATATTTCACCATTTTATTATTATTTGTTGTTCATTGCAAGTAGTGTTTGATAACAATGCATTGTCAGCAAAATGCCAGAATAGGTAAGGTTTGTATTGTTTGTTTTCCATTTGTCACTTTTAAAATATTGTGTCATTGACACTTCAATTAACTTACTTCAAAATCACATAGTGATCCCCTAAGTAAGTCATCTAGCTTTTAGAACTTAATATAAATAATGCACACATCTCCTTATTTGTTTCAGGAGCTGGTCTCCACCCCAGTGGCCACCCCCAAGGTCTCCCCAGTCCCTAGTCCCCAGGGAGAGCAGTCCCCAGCAGTCGTGGGGACGCCAGTTCTCACACCACAGTCTTCAGTCACTGAACCTGAGTCTGAGGCTGATACCACTGTATTGCCTACTTTAAAAATGACTCAAGGTAAAAAGGAGACAAAGGGCCTGTTTATAACTGTCCTAACATGGACCATGATCAGATAAAATATCACATTGGGACCCTATAGCATTGCTGTTATTATATGAAATCTAATAATCTATACAGCATACAAAGGATTAAAATACCAGTATTTGGGTTACTCTGATCTTATATGTTTCTTTAATAAATATCGAGTGGATTTCAGTTTAGCAACAAATGTATACTGTCATGATATTTTATATTCTTGTATTTTTATTTACAGATTTATCAGTCAGAGAAAACACAGCAGATGACACTGCAGTTTTCAATCCAAGACAGGATGTCAAAACTCCTCCCATCACTCCACCCCTTTCCCCGCCCACTGTTGCTGACACTCCGCCCCCTTCAGTAGAAACTCCACCCCCCAGTTCCCCTACCCCTGCTCCCAGATCTCCCACCCCTAGATCCCCTAGTCCTAGGTCACCATTCCCTAGTCTCAGGATAAAAGGACCTAGTCCGCCCCCCAGTCCACAGCCCTGGGGTAATCCTGACTCCCCTCTGTCTGAAGAGAACCCCTATCATGGTGAATTGACAGTGGACAGGGGAGAGGAACAAATGTAAGCACTGGGCATTGTATTAGATTAAAGGCTTTTGAATTGGATTAAATTGGATTATACTTTTATAGTGATAATTACATGTACTATGGTCTTCATGTTGAGCACAGAGATTGTTAGAAAAATTTTAAAGATATATTTGTAGTTATCCCACAGTTGGCACTTTGAACAATAGGATAATTACATTTGTATTTCACTAACAAGAGAATTATCTTGTTGTTCAAAGTGTCAGCCATGGGAGAAGTCCATTAAAAGACGAATCTCCCACTGTATGTATGCCTCTATAATAACACTTTTGCATATCACATACAATGGGTGAGACTTTTGGTAACTAGTACTTATTAGAAGGTAACACTGTTTACATGTTGTGCATTTTATGAAGCTAATAATGTAAACTTTCACTTGTTGATTACACATAAGTATCTTTGTTAATGAAAAATTTTCAGTTCCCTGTCAGTGGCACCAAATGAGTCATTGAGCACAAGAGAAACACTGCCTATACTGGTTCAACCAGTACCTGTGGCGCCACCTACACAAGAAGCGGATATATCCCAGGCTGCACCTTTGTCAGAAGACTCGTCCTCATCCTCTGGGATCACCACAGTGACAGAGACTGTGAACCAGAGTATATCAGAGGGAGAGTGGTTGATCAGCAAAAGTGAGGGAGAACTGGAGGATAAACTACAGTATCATGGTATGAGGTCTTAATTATTATTGTAGGTGGATCCAGGGGGGTGGAGGGGAGGGGTGGGATAACTTCAGTCTCGTCCTGTATACCTCTTTCCTATGTAAAAATCCTGAATCTGCCAGGGATCATGAATTAATAATTCAAGCCCCTTGATGAAATATGAGAGATTTGTTGGTGTGATTTATTTAATGGTTATTAACCTACTTGCTAATAAAAAAACTATAATATGGCCATTTTAGCAGGTCCACTTTTGTGGTTGTGATATTTAAATTTGCTTTCATATACTTCATTATGAACATTTTCAATATCATAAAATATATTTTTAAAAAGCAGATTAAGATCAAAGAATTTTGAAAAACTTGACAAATTCTAGTGGGTAAAATGTTAAAAATGTTATTTTTACAATCTTGTTAGGTCTTGCTAAGGCTTACCAGTCAGCTTTTGGTGAAGTCCTTAGTCCTGAAAACAGTCTGGCAAGCACTTTGCATGGAACAGATGACATAAGTCATGAAAAGGTATTTCTTTGATTAAGTCTAGAATTTAATTTTATCTTTCTAGTGACTTACCTACTTTCATTGTAATTAGACATAGGAGTATTAACTTAGACTTCATAAAAACTTAACTGTCAATTTAAATCTTTCTTACAGAAAACCAGGGCTCCCTAACTTCCTTATTTGCTGGCCATGTTCTTACCTGGAAAACCAACAGTTTCCCTTGTTTGATATCATTTTCCACTTATCCTAGGTCCAGTTTTCTGCCCAGTTTGATATCCCTTCATCAGCTTTAACAAAACCACATTTTCTCAATACAGGATGACAGCTTACCTAGTAGTGAAGGAGAATTTGTCCACAAGCCCAAGGTGCCATTTGAAAGGGACCCTTTGATTGCTCTCCTGGCAAAGGTGCAGCAGCCAATTCTAGTGTCTCCACCCCAGGGAATACCCCAAGGACAGGAGAGAGTACCCAGGGGACCAGAGGTTCAGAGAAGTCTGGGTGAAATACGGGATTTAGATACAGAGAAGAGCATGGGGGAGATCAGTCAGTGGGGACTGAAAATGGAGGCTGGACAGGGGCCTTTGCTAGCTGGACAACAGTCAATACCTGAGGAGGAGGCTCAATATAAAGGTGTGCTTTTCATAACCTTTGCCTTTTAAATAACCAAACTTAAAATATGTGTGGACAGCTGTTTTTTCCATAGTCTTGTTTTTTGATTGTATAAAACATATAAAATGTGTAATATTATAAAGTCAGACTAATAAGGAAAATCTAATAACTAGTTGTAATGCTATTAGGTCAGACTATAAAGGAACAGATTTTTATGGAACTATTGAATCTTTTTTATTTTTTTCTTTTCAAATGAACTAACAATGACCAGAGTAACTGGAAAAAGGCTAAGTTTTAAATTTATTAATAATACAAAAGCATTTGTAAAAAGCTGACAAATTTGATAAAACGCTGAAATGATTTTGTAAATAGTTCAGTTCCTAAATATACTCAATTTCACTATTTAACAGACAATACCATGAAGATGAGTGATTTGTATGGCACCAAGTCTAGACCACAGCCAGGGGGCAGGGTGGTCAGCGTGGCACCTTTTGCTAGCTCAACTCCAGGTAGAACCATTTTTACGCATTAAATACAAGCCGTTTTCAGCCAAAAGCTGATGTTTTCTTTCAGAGATTCCCCACAATAAACTGAGAACTTCAGTAGCTGTTTTTTAGATGCTACTTGGTGTAATTTGTTTTTGCTGTTCATTTTGTAAGGACAAGTCACTTGGATTGATTCCTAGACGGAGAACAAAAGAAGCTTTGTTAAATGCACACAGCAGTCTCTGTACATATTCAATAGCAATTTAATTTTTATCATTGAGTAAGTTTATCTTACTGTGCCATTATGTCTACGTATGTATCCAGCAGTTCAAGGGCTGCTTAGTTATTTAATAATGATGATAATTTAATAATAATAATAATAATGATAGTAATATTAATTCCCTGAGCCAAAATCAAGCATATTTCTTGTTACCACAAAACCAGGAAAGCAATGTTTCTACCTAGATAAAAACTCACAAATCAGGTATCAATTCTTTATCTTCTCACAGAGAGAGTAACTGTAAAGCCCAGAATGATTCAGGTTGGGAGAAGTCAGAGTCCAGAGGTAACTCACCCTTCAACCAGGACCACAGATGCCAAGCAAGCGCCTGGTGCTCAACCCAGCCCCGTGAGAACCTCACGGGAATTCCCAAATGGTAATGGAAAGTTTTTTTAAATTTTGATAACCTGTATTATAATGATAATAGATATAATTTATTGTGATGAGTAATGACCAGAAAATGTTGAAAATGTCTGAAGTGCAAAATTCATTAATATTTTTATTGTCAGTATTTGTTACCCTTGTATCACTGATCTAGATAACCTTAAAATGCATATTCCAGAGTAAAAATGTCAACTGTGTTTGATCATAACATCCACCATCCACTCATTAGCAATACATGTTATCTGAGTCATCTTTGCACAGTGTGATGAATCTTATTTTTTTGTAATTATTTCAGCATTTCAAGGCACTGGTACCATCAGTGATGTAGACACAAGAACTATGACCCCAGACCAGATCAACATGGAAGCTCTCCTCCAGTCCGGTTATCTCACTCAGACTTTCAGTTCTGATGGAGGGAATTCAGATCTAGGTCACTCTGGTAACCACACTAGAACCTTGTCACATATTCCTGAGAAACCTGAAGATGGAGGACTCAACCAATCAGGAGGGCTGACCCATACACTGGAGAAAGCAGCAGGATTGAACCAATCAGGACACTTGACACATACCCTTGAAATGCCTGAAAAGGGGACTCTGGAACAATTGGAGGATTTGCCATACAAGGAAGAAAAAGATAACCAAGGTGGATTTCTACAGGTGAATTTAGATGGTACGGGAGGGGGTGGTCCTCTGAAAATGTCTGTTACTATTCCGTCCATCCATGGAGAAGACTCGAGTGAATCTGGTACATTTGAAGTGTCCGATGTGTCTGAGATCCCTGGAGGAGACTTATAAATATCTGATAATGTATTATTTTGTCAGCACCTCATATGAAATTTTTAATGATCTCCTCATGCTAATATGAAAGAATGGTAAATGACCTAAATATATTGTATTTTTTTACATAAAACTTAATGTAAAGATGAGTTAATTTAGCAATAAGTAAGCAGAAATATATTTTAATATGCATATTGTACTTTGTGTTACTGTTGCTTTAAGGCTTGATGTTACAGACAGCAGCTCTCATTCAACTGCATGTGTACATAGCTTTTCTGGACCCATTATTGAAAAACAGAGTGGTTAAACATATTAATGACAACTTTGTAGTTTTTGCATTATATTTGAATAATGAAGCTGTTAGTAGAACTGTTTGCGCCAGAATTGAATTGAGAATTGAAAACAAAAGTAATGTACATTTAAACTTATGTATGGTAGAAGAAAATATAGTTTATCGTAATGAATTCCACAGATATGGCTGAAATTTGATGTTTTTCTAGTATTCGTGTAGCCGACTACTAATTATTTGAGTTGTAAATAATTGCTATAGTTGTTAGAAAGTGTAAACAGTAAAGTGAAAGGAATATCACTGTTATTTGAAACGTTTCCAAAAGGCCTTGTAATATTGCTATAAATCGTTATTTATTAAAAAGAAGTCTTATGAATTGCTGATATATTCAATAAAATGTCATCAAAAATGTTTACTGTCTTCAATAATTTCTCACAAAGAAGTAGATGACACTGTTTGAATATATATAATATTATAGGGTGGATCATCGTAATGCAATTAATTATGCCATTTTGTTGAATTCTTTTTAAGTAAAGAAACATATAATGTGTTATGCAATATAGCATGAATGTATCTACAACCTAAAAATGCATTGTATTAGGAAAAAATTACGAAGATCGTCACTAAGACTGCTTCCCTTGAGTACTCCCAGCACGTCTTAAAGACAAAGATCCAAAAATATTTGAACATGGGTGGACGGACGTGTCATCATCGGGACGCACTAAAATGTGTTGGTTACGTAGCTAACATCCAAGGGTGTGTGTTATAGCCGCATGCATTTTGTAAATGTCTTAGAGACGTCTTGCTCGCGAGAAGTCTTTGTGAGACGTCGTCGTGACCAAGACAAGTAGCTGACTGGGACACAGCAGACTGCATTGTGGTAGTTGCGACGGTTGCGCCTCATATAGGCCTAACCTGGTGGGAGATCTTTTTAGTCATTTTTTAAATTACTTTAAACATCTCTTTACTTGAAATTGACACCTTCAAGTGACAATTTTATACATCATCTCTTTAATGAATCACATTTTATAGCCTTACAGATGTGTTAATTACGCAAACTAGCAAAATCACAGATATGAGCTGAATTGGCTCTTGTTTGTATGATTGTGTTTGCCGGCTTTCAGGTTTGACTATATTTTGTTGAAATTTTCATAAACTATGCACTGGGTAAGGCGCTTGAATGATTTATTACAACATAAGTCGTCAGAGTTAATAAAAAAACAAACATTGATGTGCATATGTCATCTAACATTTTTAAATAGCAAAAACTCAGCTCATAAACCAAATTTCAATTTTTAAATAGTATTATAAATACCGAATAGGGTACTATTTAAAGTATCGCATGTGACGCCTTTTTTTCTAGGGTTGTTTTATAGCATATTGTATGTTTTGTACTCTTCACAGTTTGCTTTTGTTTGTATTTATGATAGTTTTTAATAAATTGAAATTCGGTTTCTGTGCAGTTTTTCGCTAACTTGAAAAACATTTAACAAAATAGATCCGTCGGTGTTGATATTGAATGAGCTCTGATGATTGATGTATTAATTAAAACAGGTACTTGCTTGAACGGATAAACAGTTTATGAAAATTTCGACAAAATATAGCAAAGTCAAAAAGTCGGCAAACACAATCATACAGAAAAAGCCATGTCAGCTCTTATCTGTGATTTTGCTAGTTTTTATGGCAAACATACCTGCAAGGCTAAAAAGTGTAGTTTATTGTCTAAGATTTGCTTAGCCTTGATGTTGTAAGGCGTCAATATCAAATAAAAATGTATTAAAAGCAATTAAATAATTAAATTAAAAACTGATAAGATCTCCCACCCAGCCATGTAGAGCACAACCGTCGCAACTACCACAATGCAGGCTGTGTTGTCCGTGTCAACCATTGGGTGTGAGAAGGCGCCTGGTATAGAAGACTTTTCATATGAGATTAAAAATTCCACAATAAATACATTGTAAACAACAAAAAAATTTAAATTCCATTTTACCACCAAAAGCGGCGGTTATCGCAATTATTCTGAAATCTGTGCTTTATTACTTTGTGATTTCAATTTGTGATTTAACCCTTCACTCGTTATAGCCACTGGATACATCCATGTATTCAAGACGTCTTGCTTGGAACGTCGCGAACATGACACGATGTTCTTCTCATGAATAACAGGTTCAAAGTCGTGCTATCAGTATTCAGACTCGCACAGGTATTTACCACCAGAAACGGGCTTTATGACAAGCTCTCCATTTTCCGAAATATGACAGAAGAGTTTTGATTAATTGGGTTAAATAATCAACTCGTCTTTATTTAAATAGAAATTAATAAAATAAGAAAATAAATAAATGAAACAAATAATTTTATTATAAATAAAGATGATAGTAGTAACAAAAATAAATAAATAAACAAAAATAAAAACAAAGACAAAAACAAGTCATAATATTAATAAGTTTATTCCACAAACTCTAAATATTATAAATATCATTTCTTCTTAAAGTGGAATGTAACAGTAAGTTTTTTTTTCACAACCGTGTACATAGTGAAGTGCAAGAGTACCATAAAACCTTTGTGTGAAATGTGCTAGTAAGTGAATTTGCAGGTGTGTCACCACAATACACTGGTTCAAAAGTGTAATCCCCTTAACTACAACTCAAAATGTTCATCTCTGTGATTATTGATCTGATAATATGATGGTATTGACTCCAGTATTATAAACCTGGGTCCTAAGATGAACTGCATGACCAAGGACAGAGAGTTGCTATACACAATGAGGTAGCAGTCCTTTAAATATACACGCAAGTCTTCGCTGGTGATATATTTAGAGAAAATACATAAAAGGTAAAAAGATAAACAGCACAAAGTCATGCAGCAGAAGGTGGGGATAAAATTGTGCACATCAACAGTGCAAGGGAGAAAATCTGTTTATCTTGGATGTCCTATAAGAAAGCAAATGAGCTACATTTGTCAACATATAAAAACACCTATCAAACCATGATTTTACACAGAAAGTTGAGGAAATTCCCACATTAGGCAAAATGATAAAAACAGTTTCTTGCCAGATATCATAGATACAAGGCAATTTATAGTTCTGAATAAACAAATGATTATGTGCTGTTTTACTATAAGACACCAGCAGTAAATAGAATGATCAAGAATGGTAACAAAGTGTTTCAGACAAAGATGAAAAATAAATTAAAATTCAGTATTTGTGACCCAAATGAGAAAATGTCCAAGGACTAACACCTTGAAAATGATACTGCAAAAAAAATACAGGTCAACCATTTCCATGGCTAGTACACAACTAAAATGGGCAAAATAAATAAGATATAAGGGGCACCAATACCTTAAAGGATAAATAAGGACATTGCTTAAAGAAGGTTCCAGTACAATAAAACCCATCTATGATACATTAAAATGGGGGTCAAATAAAAGAAAAATGATGAATAAACACCTTGAATGATGCCTTATATCTATACATTTTGTGACAAATACATAGTAAAATACACAATGATAGATGACCTTTATACAATGCAAATAGAAAAGATAAAAGCTCTCAATAGGGAAACCCTATTGCACCACCATATATATTTATATATGCCCTGTGTAAGTGAATATATTAAGACGTGGGGGTGAGGGAAGTTCCAATGAATGTACAGATAATCAACAGAGATGTCAAAATTCACTGATAAAGTAAACATTAATAGTTCTTAAGTCTTAAAACAATCATCACTACTGAAAGCAGTGTGCCAGAAGGTATTTCATTACAGTCATGCAGGTGCTAAACTTCTTTTTGGCAGGATTAAATATATATATGTAACTTTGTATAACAACTGAACATTCCCATGTTTAAAAATATAATGTGACCATGACACTTAAGTCTGCTCAAAAAATTTAAACCTGACAAAAAAATCATCAATTTGTAAATTTGAAAACTTACGAGATTCTGACACGTTTCAGTACAGTGTAACATTCTTTTGTGTACAATAAAGACATCCTAAATGTGACATGTTTTTAGAGATTATGACTCTGAAACATCAGATTATGGCAAGAAAGAAAAATTTCCCTTAATCAAAGAGCCTTGGGCATTTCTTTACATTTATCCAAACACATTCTAAAAATATCACACCAATATCTTTTAATCTACCGGGGTCTACAGGAGAAAACTATCACAACAACAATAACATACACACAACAGTAATGGTAATGGCAAGGAAAAGCCAGCTCCCCTGACATGAACATATATTATTATGACTTGGAAAAAGATGCTTCTTCCAATAAGAAATCTCATTCACAGTTGCCAATCATTCACTTGTAAGTACCACGTAAGTCATGAACAGCACTGCTTGTTTAAAAATTATCTTAAAGTCCACTTTTGTTTGTACTTTTTTTTCTATACTATAAAAAATTGCAACTTGGGCCAAGGTGCCAGAATTAATATTGGGAGCAATATCACAATATGATAAAGGGCTTGAGTGAGTTGCTGTGGTAACATAGATATGCACTTTTCTTTACAAAAATAGATATTCCTAACAACAATAGATTCCTAAATAAAAAGGTATAGCTCAATCAGAGATATAAAAGACCTGAGGGGGAATTTGCATTCAGAAAGAAACCCTTGTACTCCTATACGGCAGCACTTTCTAAGGGATCTGTATAATGCAAGTGTATCCTGTTGGCTTCCACAGGCTGCATGTCTGTAATGTCCAAAGTTGCAGCATTGTTTTCACTGTGACTGACACAGTGCCCATTACTGCTGGGATCAGAAATGTTGGTACTATTCTGATGATGGGACTTCTTGTCTTTCACTACATTCCCATTAGTCAGGGAGGATAAGGAAACATATTTAAACCCCCCACCACCATCCTCCTCTTCCTCTGCTGCCTTTCTTTTAGATCTACTAGTATCTGTCTTCTTTTTATCCCTGCTTCCACCATTATTACAGGCAATGTCATCTTGGAGATATTCACCCTCCTGTACAGAGTTTCTCTCAGCTTGCGCACTGTTTCTCTGAAGTACTGCATAATGTACCTCGTCCTGTGGTTTCACTTGTCTGTTCTGCAGCTGCATATATGCTGGTTCACCATTGGGTTGGTGTGCTATTCCATTGCCCCTCCGTGCTCCTCCCGACACCACTTCAGTGCTGCCATCTACAGGTGAGACAGGCTGCTGGTTGCTATTGGCAATCTCCATGAAAGTTGGTTCCCCTGGCAATCCAGATATCTAAAAACCAGAGGTGTAAATTGTTTACAGGATTGCTTGCATTTGCAGGTTGTAACTGTTAGAGGTAAAGGCGGTTCCTTTGAAAATGAGTTTTCTCAAAATAAGCAGATTTTATAAGGACACAAAATGTAGCTCTTGGATTGGATTGAAACTTTATGCAAATAAATATCCACAATCCTACTAAATATGCACAGATTCTATATGCAAAATTGTAGCCTAGACTATGAATACTTGTTTTTTTTTCCTGGGTGTTACCTTGTGTGATCACAAAGAAAGTAGAACTGTTTTTAACATAAAAGTACAGAAAAAACTTATCAAATCATAGAGCAGTAAAGTTAAAACAGTTCACTGTAAAGCAATTGTATAACTTTTACAAACATAAAGCATGTACATGAAGTAAAATTACCTGTATATTTTCTGTATTGGTATGACTGGCATATCCAGGATTTTCAAATGAAACACTCTCCTTAAACCTGGAGTTATTTCTTTGTCTCCTAAAATCAGTACAATATTTGAAATTAAGAATCTTGAGGTATTTCACATACAAATATTATAATCTGAGAAGGAAAAAACATCTTTAATATCAATAATAATAATACTAATAATAATAATAAAATTCCTAGGTTCACAAAGTGTCAGTTCTTTCCAAATTTTGATGTATATCATTTTAATTTTGGTGACTGTATAAAAAGTTATAGAGAATAAAAAATGTATAATACTCTATAAAACTTTTCATTGTCTGTATTACCTATAAAAGAAATACATAATGCCAACAGCAGCAATGGCAAGTAAGAGTAGTGGGACTAAAACTCCGAGTGCTATGCCCACACCATTCACACCAGACTGACCACTGGACACTCCTCCTGCTTGACCTGCAAGTCAACAAAGTAGTATTTATTACACACAAATTGCTCATTAGCTATCACAAATTAAAAAAAAAATCCTTTATTATCATTTTTTCTAAAAGTGATTTTTAGTCAATGCTGAATTACTTTTTGTTTGGATAGACCATAAAGTAATCAGAAAATAAGTCTTTAAAAATCCACCTGGCTTCTTTTACCACAAAATGAATGAGAATAAAATTATGTTATAAACTAGCATCCCTTACCTTTTGTTTGAACAGTCAATAAATTTGACTCTGAACTGGAGCCATATGTATTCTCTGCAGCCACCCTAAACTCGTAAGTCGTTCCAGACTTCAAGTTTTTCAGCTTTAGGTAAGTAAGTTTGGTGGCATTCTGAAGAAAAAGAAAGGATGCTTTAACCCTCTCTTGCTTTTTAATGCATATATCTTCATTTATTAAAGAAATATATTAATTGTGCCCTGTGAATTTATAATCACACAGCAAATCTTGTGTTTTATTCTCCATAACATACTCCTTGAGATTAACCTAAATACAAAAGTGCAATTTAAAATTCTTTAGGTAAAATGCGAACACTATGCTAGTTGCCTCCATGCTAAATCACATCATTAAGCTTAAAATTGGATTCAAAAACCAGTTTTGTAATTTCTACAGCTTTGCTACACTTGAACACCAATTTTATTTACACTTTTAGGAAAAAACAGAGTAAAATGATATACATACATGATAGTGCCGTGTGTTCCCAACTTCATAGTATTTCACATGATACAGGAGCGGTCCCTTTGTATTGGCCAAGGGTAAATCCCACAGCAGGTGCACCTCTGTGAACCCCACAAAATTTGTGCGCAGATTGCGAGGTGGAAATGGGACTGGAAAAGCCATAGAAATGTTCACATGCTATATGCAAAATATATACTATATATATAATTTATTGATTTACATGTGGCAATCAACTTTCTTTAAATATCGTATTTGGATTTCAAGCGTAAATTATGAAACTGACTTTGTAATACATTTTGGAACTAAACATTTCAAACATATATATCAATCAATTACAGTTACCAAGTTACTGTTCAACTTAATCCAAATTTACACAACACAATATTTCAATATTTTTATGAAACAGCTTACATGACGCTCTTTATATTAAAGAAATAACCAAATACAATATGTCTAGCTACCTCGTGAATGTGTACTGGTGCTTGATATGTCCACTGTGATTCTGTTTGATGGCTGACTCTGGCCATGATGATTCCATGCCACTACATATATCTCATAGGTACTATTTTCTGTGAGATTGGCAAAAGGGATGTCGACTGACAATAGTCCAACAGCCTTAAAGACAAAAAACATTTCACTTACAGTTTGATTTAGAGAAACAGCTGATTTTCACAATTGCAATGTAAAACTAAAAGCACATGATAAGACAACAAATTGCATTAAATATCACATAATCACTTTTCTCTGTTTGGAGATGGTATGGTAGTAGATGGAGATGGTAGTAGATTAATATAAGAAAATAATTCAAGGGAAATAAATCTGCCATTTTTCATCACATTATTTTTTATTAATTGTAACAGAATTAAAAACTGACTAGATTCATAGCAGCTTTCTCTCTTTTTTACTATTCAGTCGATAATAACACAATACGTAAACATAAAACTTATGGCTGAGAGCTACACCTACCACATCCAGAGTCTTAAATGCAGAATTGTCCTTTGTCTTGGGCCTGTAGAACACTATGTACTTTTGAATCTTAAAATAGTTTTTGTTTGGTGCGTCCCACATGACAGACACATGGTTCATGGTGTTCAGGTAACGGACATCTAGTGGTGCTGATGGAATTAGATCTAAGGAGAAAAAAAATCAGTTATATCAAGTTTTCTTAATGATATCTATTATTATTATTATTATTTGAATTAAATAGGACAGGTCAAAACAATGTTGGGTAGAGGGATGTTGTTATGGTTCTATGCTCCTCAAGTAGTGGCACAAAAGTGTCCACAGAGCTGACAAAATAACACTAGCTCATTAAGCCATTGTTTATAGATTCGTAGGCTCAAGGCAGCACTCAGTGAGAGAGCTGAACATCTCTTTTCTGCAATCAGTAATCTCATTTCTACCATCAGTTTCTGTACAAATGGTTCATTAACACAACTGCATTTAACTTCATCATCCAATTTTGTGTAATACATTAAAACAAATAGGGAAATTTTGACATAATTACAACCATAAAAGAAATACAAAAATGCAAATTTGCATATAGTTCATGAACGTGTACTGTACATATAAGGTTCAAAATAAACCCACCTCTCCCTGATTCCAGACAGTTAACAATTGTGCCTATATATGGCACACAAGGGTCACTGGAGAAATTTGTGGATGCTATACCCTTACAGGCATTATGACATGTCTCTGGGACGCCAGCCTCACGACAGCACTTTTCATGATCACGACCATCTACAATCATAATATATACATAAATTAAAGTGCACATCATATGAATTATGACAAGTAGTAGTGGTTTAAATTTGGTTGAGCGTATTAAACATTTGAGAAAATAAAATATTTCAAAACAGAGTTTTTTTTTTTACAACATTGGTACCATTATATATAAGCATAATATATAAACAAAGCAAAAGAAAGGGGGAAAACAAGGTAGTAAAACCCCATGTATGTGGCAGGCCTTACCAGGTAATGGTAAAAAAGGACTTGTTTCATTAGTGAAATCATTTCCTTTCTTTCAGATTCAAGAATAACTTCATTCATAAATAAAGATATTTAAATTACTTAATCTTTTCAAAGGAGGGAAAATTGTGAATTTTACTGAGACCGTATTTTTTAAGACATTAACTCTTGAACTCCTATTGAATGGTAGCAACAAAACTGAAATTTGTATTTCTATTCTATAAAGTAAAAGCACCACAATTTCTACATTTAAAACATTTTCATGATTCCAAATTTCATATTTGATAATGTTCCCATTGAAATGATTAAGCAATTACTGTAACCCTACCTGCTGCACAAGCCAGGAGTTTTGGGGCTTCACTTAGGCACTGGAACCGCGTCCTGGCACTGTTGACTAGGAAGGCATCCAAATCAATGTCAAAGGAGCATCCCACCTGACACCTCTCTGACACCCCCTGGCTACGGCAACATTCTACAAATACAACATAACAGAGTGCTGTACCATTATTGTGGTAGAGATAGACATTGTTCAGCATCATGATGATAACACTTCTATCAAATCTTAACTGGATAGATTCAAATAAAAGGTGCAGCTGATCATGAAGTAAAAAAAAATTGGGCACTATGGGATAAATTTACACTGGACATTGGTCAAAAGACATTTCTTGTCATCCTTTAACTATCTCTACATCAATTATCAAGCAAAGCTGACTTTATTGCTCCGTGATAAAATGTAATGTTACTTATAATTACCTTTCACGGTTGCCATGGGTCTTGTTGCTGGTGGAATCCCCGAGGTTGGGGAGGTAGTAGTACTAACATCCTGGGGATCTGTGGAGAAATAGTTTTTGAATGAGCTTGGGTAGTGTATAATCACGAAACATAAGCCAGAAACATACTAATATTTCAACTTTATTTTTAATCAAGTCCATTGGATGAGGAGTTATGGCATATTGACAAAATAACCTAATATTATTAATTTGATATTTTCATCTGCAGCATCATTTATCAATGTGTACGCTCACATGTACTCCCTAATGTCCAAAGTTATCAATGTGAAAACTTATAATCATGTAGCTTAATGTTATATGACCAAAACACTCATCAAAGAAATAAAAAGCTGTACCCACCCACCAACAAGTGTATATCTTATATTTTATCTACTCACCATACAATGTGATTGTTCTACTGATATTACCCAACGAGTTCTCCCCAATACACTCATATCTTCCCAAGTCATCCTCAACAATGTATCTGAATACCAAATACACCTCTGTCAGCCCTAGACTGGCATTCCTGTTCATCCCCATCAAAACCCGTCTGTTAGAGATGAGCACAGAATTGTGCTTCCAATACCCTGCTGTGATGTTCCCACCAAACCAACAGTGGATGTAGACGTTGACAGAATAGCTGGGGATGACAGCTAGTCTTCCAGGGGTGCCATTTTCTATGGTGGGCTGATCTGTGGTGAAAAAAAAAAATGAATTTGAGATTTAGATTATTGAAGTAATAATATCATATTTCATCCAGAAAATTCGACAAAATAGCTGTGATATCCTACGATTAAAATATTTAAAAAGAGCAATTTATCATGAAATTATGTTACAAAGATGAAAAATTGCTTAAATTGCATTGATAAAAGTAAATAAATTGATAATTGATAAATGCCAGATGCCAACAACTAAAAAGATTAAATAAAAATTCAAGAACATTGGCAATTCAATCAATTCTATATTTAAATATTTTCATTACTTACATAGCACCCACACATCCACTGTCTCGGTTGCTTCTTCACCAATCCCATTGTTGGCGTGACACATGTATTCCCCTTGCTGGCGGCGGGTTATGTTATTATTGGTGTATATAGAGTCTTTGCTGAGTATTTTGCCATTGCGGGTCCAGAAAATGTGGATAGGCTGCGTTCCTCTGGCCTCACAGCGTAATGTCACACTACCGCCCTCTCTTGGCACCCGGCCAGTTACAACCTCCGCCATCACAATGTACGCTGCGACTGGAAACAAAGATTGCTTGCTATGTCAACATGGTACATTCTTCATTTTCACTAATATGTACAACTGGTTTTCAATCATACCTATTTCCCGTAATTAGGAAAATTGGGCAAAAAGAACAAGGTCTTTACTAACCAAAAATCAATAAACCTACATATACACATTTTTGTTTGGCACTCATGTCTTTAATGAATTGCTTACTAGTCAGGTGTGAGATAAAAATATTTCCAAGGCTTACTTCTATATTCTGTGGTAGCAGTAATAACAGGTGTGGGAGTGCTGGCACCATGGTCATTGAGTGCTACTAGATACACCTCATATGTCTTCCCTGCCTCAACATCAGTCAGTGTCACTGGGCTGGTTATATTCTGTATGAGGAAAAAAATTATGAATTTTACAGAAAATCTATTTTTCAGTCATAATTTCTTAAATTAGAACATTCCCATTGAGGGGTAGCAACAAAACTGAAAAGCATGCTACTCTATAGTTCTGTTCTATGCAGTAAAGAGACCACAAATGATTCTAAAAGCCATTACTGTATCTAAGACAAATAAAACTAGCTCCTTGACAAACTTACTTTCATAATTTTGGTCACCTCATCCTCTCTGGCTCTCCTATAGTAGAGGTCATACCTAGCATTGTCTCTGTTGATCAGTGGAGGCAGCCAGGACATCTCCAGGAAAGTGGGCCCCTGGGAAGTGATACGGAACCTCCGCGGTGGGGATGGGAAAGATGCTGCAGGGCAGAAAGATAAGGGTTAACAGGCAAATTTATTGTATGACATATATCAGATTACTCAAACTTTTTCTTCAAGTACTATAATTATATTTTAAAATGTAGTAAGTCCTTGTAATTTATTCCTGATAAATCAAGTTTTTGAAGTCTTTCTACAAAGATTTATAAACATATAAACATGAACAGTGCTTAAAGTAACAAGCCTTAATTTGGATATTATTCTGTCTTTATATTATCATATTAACTTTAACAATAGGGGGAGGATACTCATAAATCAGCACCATGTGACAGCAGAATCCACAATACAGAGAAAGATATTCCATGTAAATAAACAACTATGAAACTATTGTATCTGTTTGCAGTTCAAGCAGCATACCAAGGCCTTCTTTAATGCAGCTCATGATTGGAGCAAAATAGAGTGGACAGACCAGTTCTGCCACCAGTCCTCCTCTGGAGACATCCTCCCCGCGGCACACACCCAGACACATGCCTGGGACATTCCGCCTCCTGCAACATGGCTCATTCTGATGGTCTTCTGCAGAATAATAAAATGAATTTTTAGAACTTAATTCAAATAACATTCAAATTGATAATTTCATTTATAGTAGGTGACAAGTCCATTGCTCATGTCAAATTAGAAATGACTTAAGGACCATTGTCTAAGGCTGGTCAAATTTGATTGTGCAAAAATTAAACATAATAACTTTTTGCAAAGTTTTTAAAATTTTTGACAACAAAACTGGGTGAATTAGGGGTAAAGAATTCTCTGAGATTATCGGACTTCTTTGGGTTATTTTCCTTTTTGTTTTGCATAATACTTTAAAATAACTTGAACTAAGAAAAAAAAAAAAGAAAAGAAAATTGGAATTGTTAGTACTTACTTCCTCTGCAGGCAAACACCTTGAGGATATCATTGACACAGGTAGCAGGCACCTCGGCATCGGGGTGTGTGAAATAACAATATGGCTGACAAGATGGACTCACGTTTAGATTAACACAGCAGTCTGAAATAAGAATGTGATAACTTTGAAATCAACTCTCAAAACTATGCAGTTCTATCATTAAAGCATTAATTCCAACAAAAGAAGAGCACCACTATTTATTCATAGCAACACTTTTCTCTGTAAATATAATCAAAGTATAATTTTTCAAAATGTGATACCAAATATATATATATATATATATATATATATATATATATATATATATATATATATATATATATATATATATATATATATATATATATATATAATGCATGTGCTGTTAATATTTTAAAACCTTATTCTGTCAGTGACAATTTTTTCCTTACAATATTCTACTTACCAGTGTCATTCCTCACAAATGTTCCATTAGGAGCTGGTGTTGTGGGCACTTCTTAAAAAACCATACAATATATAGGTAAATAGATCTTTACTTTAATTCTGACATGGTGTTAGTGGTACTATAAAAATAAGTATTACATCACTCAAACAGCAAATGTATTTCAAATGGCACGTGAGAGGCAATTCAAATAGTCCAAAAGTTCAATTTATTTATGCTATGTAAGATAAGCCTTTATTTTCTGTTGTTCAACTGACTTCTTCAGCAGTAACGACGGATTTGATAGGTGTATTATATTAGCAAATTGATAATTACCTTCAATCACACTAGAACTAAATGGTCTTACCTTCTGCAGCAGTCCAGATGGAAATCTTTGGACTTGGTAAACTTGAACCATTCTGATTGAATGCCACCACTTGTATCTCATACTGTGTATCAGGCTCTAGATTTGGAATATTATACCTGGTCTCTGTGGTATTCACCTAAAATATATCGACTGCTATAAAGCAACTGATCCAAGATTCTTGCAATGTCCTGAATATTCTTTATTATAGGAAAAAATCTGTAAATTCTAAACTCACATTTGTCAATTCAATTTTTTAATTTATCTCATAGCCATTGGGCTTTCTCTTTGCTTTTGACCAAAAAAATCTCTTTCAATTTCTTCACAAAGTTGAAAATCTGATAACCATGCACATCCTGGACACCTCATTCCATACACTATATGGCTTACCTCATTCCAGGCAAGCTGTTCTGTAGTGACCTTCCTATGCTGTACAGAGTACCACTCCACTCTGTGTCCAGATGATGTTCTGTTAGGAGCATCCCAGTCCAGAGAGGCAGTGTGTGTGGTCACGTTGTACACTGTGAAGTTGGTGGGGGATGATGGGAAGGAATCTAAAAAGAATAGAGGATTTTTTTATTTAACGAACAAAGTAAAAAGTATATTTGGGGAAAATGTAGAGCATGAACTTGCTTTGGGAAAACATGTTTTGCCCATGAATATTTGCAAAAACTTAGCGACAGTTAAAAAAACATTTCTATTTCATTTTCATTTATTGCAGTTTGAAACAGTCTAGGTTAAAAAATCATTTTTGGTAACAAATTGGTGTCTAAATAATCAAACTCCTCAGGAATGTAGTACACACTTTGACCTTATCAACAAATACTTGTAAATCACTACTTTCTGTACTGCAACCCAGAAAAACTTACCAACTCCTTGCTTCATGCACTTGATGATGTCCTGGCTGTCAACAATACAAGTGACATGGCTCCACTCAAGTGAAAAGCTCTGGTTATAACCCAGGGCACACAGTGGTTGACAGCTCTCCTGGAGTACTATGTTTTCACAGCATGGTCGATGGTTGCGCTGATCTGAACAAAATTTTTAAAAAATTAAAAATAAATAAATAAATAAATAAATAAACATCAGAAATAAGGTAGTGATGGCTACAATAATCATTTCTCCTCTTATCATTTAACAGTTTAAGATAGTAAATAACCCACTTTAGCTTATCCTCCTTATATACAACTTAAAAAATTAAAACAAATCTCAACAATTTGTGAGATAAACCAGTTTTGTTACACACACACATGTACGCAAACTAAACGATTTACATCATATCATAATGAGATCCATCTTGAACAAAAAAATCCTTCAAGCAACAAAGAAAACCAACAGCACTCTTTTACCTGCTCCGCAAGCCAATATGGTGGTCAGCTGGGTGATACACAGAGCATAGGTTGCCAGGCTCTCCATCCCAACCTCTATGTCATTACGCAACTCATAGGTACACAATGGTAGACAGAAACTGGGCACATTCCGCTTAATGCAACACTCTAAATATACATAAATAAATAGCAAATATAACATAAAGATGAAAACATAAGGCCAAGATAATTTTGATGTAATTGTACTGATCTTTTAACCTTAGATTGAAATAAGTCATAAATTTTAATACCAAAACAGAGGCTTTCAGTGTGTACTATTTAAGGTATAAAACATTTCGTTTGTTAAATTATTTCTTGGGTAACATTTCTAACACCTTCAGTCTTACCTGTCCAGTTATGAGGCTGTGGGGGAGGCAACACTGTTGGCTGAGTTGTCGGCTCTGTAACCAGATAGAGAATATGTGTAACAGTTTTATTATTTAATTCTAAGGGGTTTCAATATTAATAGCAATATTAATGCAGATAAGAATATTTATCAATAATCAGCAATTAAGCCAGTCACATTTTTCATTTAGTAATATAAAAAAAAGTTGCACAAAATTCTGTTACTAAGTTCAAGTTCTGATGACATGACCATAACTACGTCAAAGACCTCATAAATAAGGAAATCAAGCACCTACCTGGGGGTGGGTAAGTCATAAATACTAGCTCACTGGAGGGTATACTGGAACCATTCTGCCCCCTGGCGACCATATAGACTTCATACAGGGTGTTGGGAACCAGGGGAGGGAGAAGAGCCTGTCTTGCCGTCGAACTAGCTTGGATCTGAAATGTGCAGAATAAGTTGATGGTTAGCATGTTCTTTTACTTTGTCTCTGGGATATATTGCAAGTTTAAATTAAAATTATTTCAAAAACATTTTCCTTTTTTTTTATGAAACATAGAATAAAATACATATTTCCCATTTAATATTTAACCAGGATCAATGGTTCAGTAATTTCAGTAATAAATTAACCACAAGATGAAACATGTTTTTTTCTCCAAGCAATAATGTGAAATCACTATAGTGGAAAAAGCTGTCTACTTCAAACAGCTTGGTGGTTAAATTTCTGCAACTTCATCAAACATCCATCCTTTCTACATTAAACCACTTATCAAAGACTAATATTCAACCTCAGTTTTATTTCCTCCTGATGTCTTATTCCTGAGGAAGATCTGGAAATATTTCACTGTTTCTGGAGTATCTACATCCCATTGAAGCTCGGCTGAATTGCTAGAGACGGATCGGAGTCTAATATTCTGGGGTGGGGCTGGGATCAATGCTGTAAAATAACATGGCAAACCAAAGGTAGAGCTAGAGCAAATTTAAAAGCATTTTTCAGTGAAGCTGTTATGCTAATGAAAACCAAGGTCTTTGCATACAACGACTTTGACTGATAATTTTATTTGGAACCAATTAACTGAGTCCATTTAGCAACATTGACCAAAAGTTTTGCTATGGTAATCAATTTTTAATCAAAAATTAACTCTCACAATTTGTAGAGGCACAAACACTTATAATACTGATCCTTGACTATATAACTCCTTTATGAAGTAGTGTAACACCTAGCATGAGAGTATCATTACCTCCACCCTCCATAATGCAAGTTTCAATCTGTGGTAACTGAAGAGCACACTGTAGCTGGGACCAGCTTGCGGCAGTATTCTGTCCTCCACAATAAGACAAACAGTCTGGAATCACATCTCTGGCCACACAACAACCTGTGTGGTTACGGCCACCTGGAAGAAAAATGAACATTTTATGTTGTCTTCATTCTTTAGCAGAGTTCTATTTAATCTCTCTATAAAATAGATAAGCCAGCACACATAATAGACTTTCAAAGCAGCTTCTGATCGTGATTTTCCTAAAAATCAGTCTAGATATAAATATAGGTAAATTGCATACATGTAGCTTGGCTGTTTTGAAAAAAAGATTTTAATCTTTATGTAAGTAAAATGAACCTAATTCGGTTGGCAAGATTCAAGTTTTCAAACAGTCTGTCCAGCTGCTCAATCTTTTTCCTAAAATAACCAATGATTTTCAATGTGAATATCGCGTAGCTAATACTAACCTGCCAGACATGAGTACACTGTGCCTAGTTCTGCAGTACACTGGAGTACAGTAGAAAGTTTGATATTGACCGTGTTCTGGCACAGTGGCATACACAGGCTGGAAATATTGTGTCTTCGACAGCAACCTATAAAGGAAAGGGGGAAATGTTAACCTTGTACAACACACTGGGTGAGAATGTGCTGTCACTGACAACAATCTTTAAAAAAAGGGGGGTGAGAATATAATCATATACCACCTTTGTGCTGACAAGGTATTTTCTGAAATTTTAATTTACAAGAGACGAATGGTTAAGATGCATAAAAAGAAGGAAAATATCAAATTATTTGTACGGTCTTTTGCATGTAATGGACTTGCAGTTAAAAGATATAATTCCAATTTAAGCAAAAAGTGACGTTGTGATTTCTTAAAAGACGTGAGTTATCAGATAATAAGTAAAGCAGTAACACATAAACTTACTAGAAACAGAGGTTGTATTACTTCTCTCTGGCATTCCTGAAATAGCGAAAAATATAATAAAATTCAACAGCACATTTCTTCTTAAATCTTTAACAGACTTTTTTTGTTCACTAAGCACAATTTCTGTATTATCATTAAAACACCTGTTTGATATTGATAAAGTAACATTTTAGACAGAGAATCTCAAGAAAAACACAGTTTATACCATTTCTTTACAATACAATTCAGAGGACAGCAGTCTGATAAAAGTTTCAATTTTTATAGCACTATCAACATGGACTACATGACCTCACCCACAGGTCATTAAGTACACTAACTTGGCTCATACACATCTGACCTTAACTACAGGTCAATGAGTGCACTTACTTGGCAAAGATCTTGCTTCCACAATGTAGGAGGGTAAGCTGGCCCCATGTTGGTTGACCACTATCACGTAGATCTCGTACAGGGTGTAAGGTTCTATGTACACATTCTTTGAGGGATCTGTGATTAGTTGGGCCATGTTGGAGCTTAAGGTTTCAGTCTGAAAAAAAGGGTCATATTTACTTAAATTGCATAGCTTTGCAAATTTGTTTCAGTCTCATGACTGCATTTACTTATATCATCTTTCTGAAAAATAAATAAAATAAATTGCATCACTGTTTTTGACATTATAATTAACACCAAATAAAATAAATTGCATTACTGTTTTTGACATTATAATTAAACAAAACAACATATTTTTTACTTAAATCATTTTTTTCTTAATACCTATCATGAAACACCCATCTCACATTGCAAAATAAAACACACCACATTATAACCTCATAATTTTCCACCTTCAAACACAAAAGCAGAAACTCTAAATCTTCGAGTTAAAAAATAAAATACTGACCATTTTCAATTTCAATTAATAAACTATTTAAATAGCTTACACTATTAAAAGGAAGGCTGGTCCCTGCCTTCCTGAAGAAGACTTTGTATCCTGTCACCCCAACATCAGGGATTTGTGTCGGGGGCTCCCAAGATACCAGGATGATATTGGTAGTTAGACCCAGGGCGGAGACTGAGCGGGGTGGGCCTGGCAGGAGAGCTTTTAAAGAAAGAGAATAATTAATTACACTGAGTTAAGGCTATGAAGATATAAATCATATAAAAATATACATTTTCATCCTCTCAAAAGTTTGTTTACTATCTTTCAAAATATAGGCATTTTCCTTCTTTACTTATTAAAATTTATCAGTTACTGCAGTTACTGCAGATGATAACTCTTATGGCTTTGCACTGTCATGACATTGCCCTTCTATTTTGACCTTGACCTATCTCATACTGACCTTGACCTTCCTCATAGCAGGCCAAGATATCCATGGACTTGTTAACACAGTCTGCATACTCCACACCCAGAGAGTCAGGGATGTCACCAACACAGAGACGCAAGCAATGGGTGGGTAGTTGGCGCCTTTGGCAGCAGGGGTAATGATTCCTGTCACCTAAAAATAAAAAATGATTGTCTTTTTGAATTCCTCAAATATGTTTCATGCTACACAAGACTAGGGAAGTGATGGATTAATCATAAAGAAAAAATGAAACAATTCTATAATTTTTATCTTACAATAAAAAAACCATTGAAAATCACATGGAAGTTACATTGCATCGTAAGGATAAGGAACTGGATATAGGACAACAAAAACTATTTCTTGCATTCATCACTCAAATAGAAAAGATGGACACATATGAATTCTAGTTTTTATTCGATATTTACAACATTGCTTTTATTGAGTGAACATTTATATTGTTAATCATTCTGCAAGAGTGACGTAAAGGGTTTGTGAAAAAGTCAAAATAAAGGAAAAAAAAACAACAACATCTTAGGGCATGTTATTTGTTCACATCCCACGTATATTGTTTGTGCAAGTCCATGTGGTCTCATTATCCTGTACATGTACAATAGTAAGTGATGCTGGAGGCCAAACCAATGCTGTAATTGTTGCCTGGGTCCTAATGAGCATACAACCTGGATAGGTTTTCTTCTCTGTATATAATAAGCATATTAATCCAAATGGTCATTCTATGCTCCAGGGTCAGTACAACATCAGGACACCACTGACTAACCTTAACTAACCTAATCTACAATATTGTGCCAATGTAACAAAAGGGTAAAATAGAAATGTGCTTGGAGGTTTTGTTTTTACATGAATCCTTGGCTGTAGCAGTGGACAAAGAGAAAAAATTAAATGGACAGGTACTGCCCATAGGGAAAATTATTATGAGTCCATCATGTACATGGGTTTCTTGTCCAAGACAAGAGGCATTCATATGTGAATAAATGAAGGGAATTAGAAATGTTGTTACAGATTCCAAATTAATATCTTTACATTTCACTTCCTTGATCTAGTTATTTCCAGTGAAGTGCTCATTTAAGCAAGAAAAATCTGAAAAAATGCTCTTGGTCTAATTGACATATAACTGCTTTTTCTGTCATTACTGAAAATAATCATTGAAGATTTCTGAAACAATCTTAAAACAACTTGCACCAACAGTCTCCTCTTAGGATTTTTGTCAATATGAGTTACATCTCAATACAAGCGGCACATTCACAAGAATTATCATTATAAGTATTCAACCATTCTAATTTTAGCCTATAATATCAGTCCACATAGGAGTTCCTAATGAGATTTTAAGTGGATAACATTGATAGTCATCCTATTCTACCTTCAAATTACACAGTTATGTTGAAATGTCTTATTCATCATAAATGGGATCTAGATGCAGGCTGGATTTTATCAGCGCATTTTTGTGCTTGTCTAGTTATATGTTCCATAATTATACTAGACCATGTATAATAACAATTAATACTGAATAATACCTTAGGACTTCCTTTTTAAACCATATTGACAGTAACAGAACACCTCCTCTCACTTATAATTTCTATTTGCAAAAAAAGAATAAAAAATAAAGCTTTATATAATATGCAATTTTTTACTTTAACACATTTAATGTCTGTCTAACCTCCTGCATGTGCGTGCACGTATATGTGTGTGCACATGTATGTGTGTAAATACTTGTGTGTCTATGTTTCTGTGTGTCTCAATTAATATGCGTTCATCTGTCCACAAGTGTACAAAACCTACCTGCTCCACAAGTGAGTATTTTTGGTATATCAGCTGCACAAGCTGTGGCTGGATTCCACCTGTGTATGTCCAGAGTACTGGGGGCACATGCCTGGCCACAGGGCGGGGCTACCCCTGCCTGGGTGCAGCAAGAGGTGAAGTTATGTGGAGGGACTACTGGGCGAGGGACGGTCACTTCAGGAGAAAAAATAATAAAAAATTACAACTGCAGAACAAATATTTACAAATCAGTGAGAACTAGAAAATCTAATGAAGCATTAGTGTAAACAAACCAAAAAAGCTTGCTAAGTTTTCCTGTAAGATACATACATTAAAATTTAAAGTAATGCATAATACCTGAAAAAAAATCCCAGCATAACATCCATACATATTTTAAGACATTGTACTAATTCTGATTTCTCTTCATAATCTGCATTCATGTTCATGTAATTTTTATGAGAAGATCACAAAGTCACACAAGCTTTCAATCCCAAGGGACATGACCTTACTCCTTCATTGTGCTATTTCTTTCTTAATCAGCCTGCAGGCAAGTAGGCAAAAACATAAAGTTACCAATATTTGCAAATTTGATGAATGGCTGTATGCATTTGAGCATAAGTCAGAAGGGAAAAAGACCAGATGCCATGTTATTTCAAATTATGCAGTGAAACCCATCCAATGCATGCCTGCATGTATCAGACAAGGAAAAAATACCATATTAATTTAATATATCAAGCGCAAACACTGGACTCTTTGTGTTTAGGAATGATAACCACAGAAATGGTAAATATCTCTTTAAAACACAAGGATGCTTGGCAAAAGTTTGTATATAAATAGCCCCGAACTTTGTGGATAAGATGTGTGTGTCAATGCAGGGAAGTAACAATATGGATTATATTATCATAATTTTATTACTGGAAGGGAGGGGGAGAAATGTGGGTAGTTAATGATATAATATAGTGACAGGGGAATAATGATGCAGGGACAAAAAGAGACAACCCCATTAATATAAGAATAAATAGGAACTATCACTATAATGTAACTTATCTGCCTAAAGTTAAAGTTTTACAACAAACAATCAAACCAAGCTAATTACCTGGTCAAATGACAGCAAGTATAATAACAATAAATGCTGACAGGGAACAGAAATAACAACAGGGATTGATACGTACAGTAAATAATCTCAGTAACGTTATTGTAACTTACCTGCACCAGTGACAGTAAGCGTTACAGTTTGCTTCACTGAAGTTCCCTGAACTTGGCATTCATACAATCCAGCATCACTCTGGACCACAGTGAGAAGGTTTAATGTGAAATGGGAATATTCTCCCCCTGGAAGCAACAGAGTAATAAAATACTTTTAACAATATTATATCACTAAACATAATTGATAGAAACTACAAAAAGAGAAATCATTTTATTAAAAATTTTGTGTAATAATAATGTGAATTCCTGAATTATCAATGGCTGTTACATCAGTGTTTTATTGTTCAGGAAGGCATAGGGAAAGAAATATTAGTTTCCACTTATTTGTTATAAATGTGTTGCAAATAAATGTGTTGGGGAAGCTTAATAGTAGGCATATTAGGCAAGTGCTACCCCCATCCTCCCCCTAAACCAAAGCCTCTATTGGACTTATGCCAAGGTGACATAACTTAAAATTATGATACTCATGAAACATACAACTGAAAAAAATTGTGTCTCTGATAAAATAAATAAAATGGAAGAAGAATTATTATAAGATCATGCCATGAACTCCAGTTTTGATTTATTTAATGAGAAGTAATTTAGTATATCAAAGCCATATTACATGCCTCCGCACAATGTTTCTCAATAAGCAAATGAAGCAGAAGATGAGAAAGAGTAATATTGGAAAGGTAGAATCTATTGAGATTCACATCACATTATTGAATTTATGAATACATCTCAAAACTCAGTTATTTATACACACAACAAATCTAGTAGCTCTGAATATATGTATATATATATATATATATATATGCCCAAGTCATGCTACAGTGAGTTTTTGTGGTGAATGATTTACGGCGTCCCTGCCCCATCTTGTCATGTGACCACAGAAAACGGTAGCCATATTAGTGTCACCTTGACTGAGTTATTTTCATCTCTTAACCCTGTCACAACCACATGTTTATCCTTAGTAGATAGTAAATGTGAAAATAGATTAGTCTTCTTGATACTTCTCGCATTAATTACTCTAAATACAATCACACTGTACTATTGTAAATTTTCTTGTGAGAAAAGTCCAGCCTACAACACAGTTGATGCACAGATTTCTGCTTTATAGATAATCTTACAAATCACTCAAAACCTAATCATCTTCTTTTGAGTAACAGAACAACACAATTAAATATGATTAAGCTACGGTTTTCTCTATATCCTTAATATGACCCACCCAACACGAGATTATTTCCACATCACCCCCCTCCTTAATAGTTTTTAAGGCATGTTGTGTTCAAGATATGATCTCTGGCAAGTCACCAGCCCTGACCTAAAGGCAGGTATATTCTGAGAGATATCATCAAATGAAGTTGTCCTGATTATTTACTGCTAAATCTGGTTTGCCGTTAAAAGCTCATCAATGTAGTAAACGGTGAACCAGCATGCTAATAGGCTATTGAATTTGAAAGAAACCAAAGTAATTGATCGCCCTGTATTTACATAGGTATTTTATTTTCTTAAGAAATTAAAAGTTCTGTTTTACACCAACAATTTTTGGATGGGATACTTAAACTAGAAATCTAAACCTGTTGGTGTTGTTGGTGCCCCAAAATTTAAAAAGTACAGATTTATATGTACAGTCGTAAAACACAGAATATAAGTTACTTATAAAGTAACAATGTTTAATGAAAACTGAAGAAAACCCCATTGTTTTAGTTCCCATTAATCATGTTATAAAACTTAGGACAGGAAAATGTTAAATGTAAACAAGAGAGAGAGAGAGAGAGAGAAAGACATTTTGATCTGATCAGACCTATTTTCAAAATTTGCCTAACTAGGAGTGAGGAAATTTACACATTCAAGGCTTTCTGTTTTCAATATCTGTATATATGCACAGTAACATTCTAGAAAATATACATTTAAACAAAAAATATAAACAGACAAAAAGATAACTTCTGAAATAAAAGTAATTATGTCAGAACAGAAATAACCTTAACTGACAGAAGTTTAGTAAAGCATGTTAAAGTTTGAAATAAAACAGTAGGCAAGAAATACAAACACATACAAACTCAGATGATGGCTAGATCTATAGACAAACAGTGTCTGTGCATAAAACGACATAAGATTATTAACCTATTCAAAAATCTAGTAGCCATTTTATCATTTGGTTCCTCCAGACTGTGCCTTGAGGGGGAATCTCATTCCCTCTAATTAGACTTGAACGACCCATATTTCAGACATGGGTTGTTGTTTATTCCATTTGAAATCAGTGACCTGCTTCCAGCAACCAAGAACTACTGGAGAGAATGCCAAAATATTTTCAGGATTTCATCAATGACAAATGACTAAATAAGCATTCCCTCCAGGGACAGCATGTCTTTCTTTTCTTTGGCTTGTGTTAAAAGTGCTCGTATGTGGCCTAAAGCGCCTCTCTGCAACCAATACTAAACCCAGCCCATGCTAGCAACAGCTTTATTAACATTCAGCACAATCCAAGTGCCAACAGTTCTTAATCCTATACGGTTATAGGAGCAAGCCTTTCAAAGTGTCATTCACTGAGAGGTCTAAGTTTTGATCTAAGGTAAAGGTTTTCTCCATCTCATTAACTTGATGCTATGACCCTCTGTGTGCAAAGTAAACATTACCCAGGGTTCAAACATGGCCAACTCCATCTACAAATGTATTTACAGACAATCCAAGTCAAATGGCAGTATGAGTAACTTTCATTACTGTCTTGCTCCCTCATACAGCATGTATAATTATCAATGTCTTTTTTTCTGGCCAGCATGTCACCACAGGGTAACTAACTGTTTAATCCTCATTTTTTAAATGCTAAATATCAATTTAAAGGGAGTGCTGGCTGCACACTTACATGAGATAATTTGGAAAATTATAAACCCTGTTCTTTTTTTTAGTCAATAGAAAAAAACTTGTATGCCTTTGGGATGTGAAATAATTGTACTCTCACAACTACATGTATGTAAATAGATCAGCAATAAAACATCAACGATACATTGACAGAACTTTGGTAACTTAATCATTTTTTTTGAAAATCTGAGCTAATGTGATAGATTGCATTTATAATATTCACTTACCTAATGGACGGGTTATGGTATAATGTTGCGTTTCTGCTGATAATATTTGTAGGTTTCTTGATATCGTAGCATTGTGCTGTAGAAATATCCACAAAACCTTTAAAAGAAATCAATTTGGATTAAAAAATTGATGCAATTCTGCTAACAAACCATTATTGTATATATATAAATAATATCACAACAAAATTATAAATTCAACAAGTCATTATGTTAATATGTATTTAAGTTAATGGAAATCTATTTTACAGTATTTGTCTTCACCTTGAAAAAAGTATTAACCAGTTAAGATTCAGTTTAAATCACAACACAGAAAGTTGCCAGCCCAACAGAGTTCTACTTGACAAAACAGTGCACTGTAACAAAATTAACAATCATTCTAGTCAATGTTCTTTTTACTTGCATAACAAGCATGATGACATATACTAGTATTGTATCTTCTGTGCCCTTAAATAGTACAACAACTTATCACTAACTTGTCATTGAAAAAAAAAACAGACTTACAACCAGAGTTTTGAAACTCACGCTTGCCACACAACTTACATCGTGTTCTCCTAAGTTGCTGACGGAACACTCCATCTGAATGTCTGTGCCTTCCACAGCCTCGATCTCCTTGCTGATGGGATAGGGAATACTGGGCATAAGTTGTTCACCTAGAGAAGAGACTTTCTATGTAGAAACTTTGTATAATCATTGTCAACACCTGTCACTGTGACCTTTTAAAATCTATTCTTAGCATAATCCAGCAGTTCTTATATTAATTTAATAAGGTAATACTAGACATGAGTTATTTGCCTGAACAAAACACAGTTTCTAAGTAACTTTTGTTTGTCCACGTCACTATGACCTGTGCAAATCAATTCTATGGTCATGTAATAATTTATTTATTTATTTAGAAAAAATTTTGAAATAAATTGGATTCGGGTAAATTTCAGGTAGCTTTAAGTTTCAGGTAAACTTTCTTACCAGCGTACCACATATAAGATTTCAGATCACTTTAATTTGTTTAATCCAATTAACTGACTCCTGTAAATTAATGACATTAACTTCTGAATTTAATTTAATTAATAGCAGCACTGGTACCATCAATTTATCAGGTAATCTGGATCTATTGTACTCGGTCAGGTACAAAAATTAACGACAGCAAAATAACAAGAGCTGTGGTTTTATTGTAATTAATTGGCTTAGTCCATAACCTCATCATTAGCATAATGATAAAGAGCTTTGTTCTCAAAGAAATGGGCTGATTCCATATATCATTAGAAAAACCATAAGCATCAGATTTGTGGCTTTTTATAGTGACAAAATCATAACAATAGTTCACCGTATTATGTTGATCAAATATCCTTTTTTATTGCCACGGCCACCACACAGCCAAGGGCAAATAAGGCATTTGCTTCAATACAGGCTATTTGTTAATGCTAATTAGCCAGAGTAACAGTGCTAATTAAAACAATTTTTAATTGGAGTCTAAAAAAAATTTAAAAAATGATATATATTGTTTTTATAATTTACCTATCAAGTAATCTTTCAATACCATTTTATTAGTCCAAAAGATAGCATGTATAACAGTTAACCACAAAAATAGGTAGCCATTTTATCAGATAGACTGACAATAAAAAATACATTAAACAATGATATACAAGCTTAGTGACAGCGGTCAGTGAGATAATGTGGCTCCAATCAACTAAGTGAACAATAGAGCCTTCTTACCCCCTCTCGCCCTCTTATTTCCTCAATCACCATAATCTGATTATTTAATTTAAGATTATTAGGGGAATAACAAAGGAATCAAGGGTCATTCTCATGTACTTTAACATGTATTGCTAACTTCCATAAGTACACCCAAGGTTCAAACAAGTAGACATGACGTGTGGCTATTCTTCCACGTCTATTTGGCACACTACTTGGGTAGTTTTTAAAGCCATTTCACCTTCTCCTCATCTGACTAATGTCTTTCTTTTTTGGCCATTTTCTCTGTATTTTTATTGCATGCACATTTTCTAACAATGATATTCTTAGAAAACATCAATAATGGATAGAATTTTTCACCAAGGAAATGGCATTTAAGTCCTCAGTTATGTGAATTAGCCATAACCAGTAAACTTTTATTTAGCTTCTTTCCTTTTTTGTCTCTATCTTATGCATTCAAGGATTCAAATTCACTCCAATTAGACTTGAAACTCCAAAATTTCCATTTACTATTCTCTTTCATATAAACTCAATGACATGTTATTCGACTGCCACAAACAGGACATACTACAAATAGTAGAAATGCCCTCAACAGACATCCATCAAAACACTCAGATACAAAATCAATTACAAGTAACATTTCATTTAGCAGAAACAATTTACTAATTAAATGAAATCAACAAAATTGTGATATTTCATTCTTGCATGATAATTACTCAGCAATTGGCAAATGTGTTGATAAATCATAATCCACATCTATGCAGGGTTTTTTTCAGGTAGAAGAAAGACAAAATGGCCCAAAATGTAAATTCCATAAGCAGAAATATGTGGTTACGTCAACAAAGTTCTTACATATTTCTCCCTTATCCAGCTATTATGTAAGTGTCACATTAATATCTATTGTTTGGTGAGGGAAAGGTTCTACACAATCTTTTATAAAGTCAGCCCTGTATGACATACAACCTAATACAGCTGTCATGTCAGGCATGCCACCTGTCATGTGTCAGCGTGTAACTTGCTGAAAAGTCACCTGTGTTGAGAATTCAACAAAAGTGACTATATCCAGGGCATGTTGCATGGGTGGCCAAACCAATAAACTTGTCACATTTTTTCCGCATCTTTTGGCTGCTAAAAGCATTTTAATAGTTGGCAATGAGAGAGGGGGTGGGGTATCACCCCTACTGGGTAATGGTAGTGAGTCAAAAATGAAGGATGGGGACGTCTTGCAAAGCATGATGGGAACACAAATTGATGTTCATCTTCCTCAGAATGTTTGACTACTGAATCTGATGACATCTTCTATGACTAAAGAGATGACTCTAATATATTATATTTCTAAGTTGATTTTTAACATTCAGTTAAGATCTTAGGGAATGCAGCGAGGACTGCTATCTGACATTGTTGTTCTCAAAACGCTTTCAAAAATTATTAGTTTATCATACTGTAGACCAACATTTGGAATCAAAGTTTTTTATTGTATGTGTGGAAAAACAAACAATTCCAAAAAAATGCCATCAAATGTATGGCAATTTTAATACATATATTTTTTCATTTCCAAATAGCACTACTACTAGTACTGCTCTAGATCTGTTGCCGGTCTACAATGGGGAGTAGGACACCATGACCAGATGTAGAGGAGATATATAGCCTACCTGCACACTGGACCGCCATCAATGCTGTCATCACAGCCACCAGGGCCATGTTGTACACTGCCTGCTCTGTAAGTTTCCAGTTCTGAAGGAAAAGCAAAAAGATTAAAGATGACTTGATTATTGTGTAGACCCACTAGATGATATTTCAATCTGTAAGAAAATGAAAATAAAAACACATTTACACAAGCGTGTGATATTACAAGAATGTAGTTCAGCAATAAAAAGTTTCACAACAGTTCACACCTAATATTGCCAAGTCAATAACATATTTCACTAATATTTCACTGGATTTACATTTAAAAAACAACATAACCGACTCCACCCACAGCTCACAGACCTACCTAAAATAAACTTATCTATTTCATCTGTATAGATGCACATAGACAGCACAATAAAGTCAAATATTCCCTATATCAAAGCTCTCAAATTCAGCCATCTTTTATTCCACTGATCTTATCTGGTTAGAAATGCAAATTTTGGTCTGAGTGGGACAATGCAATGCTACAGTAACTGACTAGAAAACATAGGGTATTTCCTGCGGTCACCTGGGAGAAATGGATCCACCACCTAGAGAATCTTGAAAATCCAAAGACCATTTCAGTCCTCTTTGTGTAAACTATGAAAATTAATGTGGATATTTGTAATGCGCACGGTTGGAAAATTGTTCATGCACAAAGTACAGGTCAGAAAAAAAAAGAGCGGATTCTGGGGCAGCGCCTGATAAAGGTCAACATGGTAATAATTAAGGTAGTCATGATATGTAGTCATGATATGGAAGATATTATTGCTACATTAAATGCTGGATCTGTTATTTTTCATGTGCCTAGAATGAAAAAAGGCCGTAACAATGTAACCTTCCAGCAGCAAATTTGATATCCAGCCAAAGTCCTCACTCAGCACTCCTTTTGTTTTCTTTCACCTCTTCTCACCTTGCAGTATTGACTGCTTCTGGATATACCAGATACACTGACCAGGTAATGTACAGGCAAGATTTGTCTGCCTATTAAATACATGTATCACGGCTTAAAAATGCTCAGCAATTCCATTCCAAGCACTTATATATTTTACAGCTGGGCTGGAGTAAAGTTAGAAAAAAAACTTTCGGCTGAAAAACTTTTTCATTCACACTGCCACCTAAACAAAAAATAAAAACTTCATGGAAAGTCATTCAAGCCCCCCCCTCCCCCTACTCAAAATAAAAGCACAGGTTGAAGCAAATTAAATGCACATTCAGCAGTGGTTATTAAAGACAGGTAATATAATATAAAAACTGGAAAACATGGCCAGGTTGATCACCTGAAGCTTATGGGCAGACAGGTTGTCTCCTGCAGACAGCAGACAGGACATGTTAAATAATGAGACACCTTTTCTGTAAGAAAAAAAAACACAGCTAGCTAGATTGATAGCAGTGTTCTGGGTTATGGTGTTGAAAGACTTCTTTTGTCGACATTAATAGCCATTGGATGAGCGCATTAAATTAGACTGGCAATAAATTAATAGGGACAATGTAAAATGCTATAAAACTGGGCATTTTTCAGTAATGTAAAAATAAAATAAATGAATTAAAAGAAAAAAATTGTGGAGAAAAATATTGTCTAATGCAAAACGAAACAAAAACCAATCTCACCTATATTATTTGGAATGAAGAACTTATTAAAAGCCTATATCATTAATATTACATATGGCCAACAAAGTCATAATCTACCGTGATAGTTTCTCTCCTGGGAGTCTTTACTTTCAAATCAAGCATGCAAAAAGTAACCGACTAATTATCTAAATGAAAACTCATTTACAACATAAAAGAGAGAAAAATAATTCCTCATAAAATATAATTTGTTTTTCAGGTCCGTCTTGATGAAGTTCAGTGGAGATGAAATATTCTAATGTGAATTGCATTGACAAAAACTGACATTAATAGAAATGTTTTACATTTTTATAACATAAATATGACTCATCTATCTGATGTAAATCCTGTTTGACATGAACTGACAAGACTGGAAATGCTTTGAAATGAATACATAGAAGGGAATTAGTTATTGCAATCTTCCACAAAAAAGTTTCAGACAAAACAAAGATTTTTTAAAAAACTAGTAAAGACACATACATACCTAAAATAGTAAAATATTAGCAATTGTCTGTTCTTAAATACTACCAAATCTAAAATTAGTTTAAACTATAATAGCATTCCACAAAATGCATTCCATAGCGTTGTTTGCTAATTCATTGACATATAGAAAAACATTACTGAAATTTTGTTGATAAGTAGCAATTTGAGATTATGATGTTAGTTTACATATATGTTCCTGTTCACTGACTTAACTAATAGAATTCTTGTTGAACGAGTAATAAAATATAAAATAAAAGAATATTTTGTGGTTGTTTGACATTTTCAAAATTTTGAAAGAACAACTATATAATTCAGACAAAAAAAGCAAAAGAGATCTGCAATTATAATGATATTAATTAATTTGTTACATGTTGATAAAAAGATCTAATATATTCTTTATAAGCAAAAGACTTAGTTATGATAAACATTGATCAAATAAAAAAGGAAAAAATGGTGGTCTCTTTTCAACCCACAAATATGAAAAAATAACTTATCTCTGGCACATTAGTGCTATAAATCACAAAGTAGAACACAATGTGATTAATTGTTGGTTTGTTTTAAATGTTGCTGTAGTGCCTTAGTGGTGTGTGTGTGTGTGTGTGTGTGTGTGTGTGTGTGTGGGAAATAGTGTGTGTGTGTGTGTGTCGTTGCATATATACATACAGATTTTATAACATGAAAGTAAATGTAAACTTTGGTTTTCTTGCCCTTTAAAACAAACACATTGGCATTAATAACCAAATCACTACCATTCCAACTAGTAAGTGACAAATCATTTAATTTAGAAGTTGACCAACGTACCTTGGTGTCCATGGTGTGGGTTATATCAACTGTGCCAAGTACTGGTCACAGACTCTAGAATCAAGCAATACTATAGTGATGTCAGCTATACACTGCTCCTATCACATCTATCCAAGCAGGAGTCATCTAGAAGTTTTTCTAAGCCATATCTGTAATAGAAGGAGAGAAGTGTTTAGATCATCACTTGAAGGCTTCCAAGAATATTGGGCTTAAAAGATTTTGGTCAAAAGCTGTCTTGATCAAAAAGGAACGTAACATGATGAAAGTGACATTTTAGAGTATGATAAATGGAGGTTTGTATAAAGCTTCACAATCACCCTTGAACTTTAAAATCTGTTTTCCTTAGACCACACAGGTTATTCCTTTCAAATCATGTGAACTTTTCAAACTCAAACGCTGATCCTATTTGCCAATATTATGTACCTTTAATAGAGGAACAATTTGAAACAAATCAATAAACACCCACTATTAAAAGAAGAAAAAAAACTTGATTTATCTTGACACGAATATTGTGTGATGTCATGACCACAAGTTTGTGTTCAATCTCTCCCTGGAGTAGGTTCACAACTGTTAAGTTGTCACTTATTGTGTGAGTGTGGGGGGCACTGTGGGTTCCCAAACCTTGCTTCCTGCCTCATCAGTTATGACACCACTATCTTTGTGGCCCATCGGAAAACATGATCAGGGAAATAGTTGCTGACATGCAAACAATACATGGCATTTTCATCTCCAGGGGGGCAACAGACGGAAGTTCAATAACAAGATCAATAATTGAAATCAAAGTGCAGGTGATCAACCTGACTGCGTATGCTGACACAATTTGTAAGTTGCAGGACTGTGCACTCTGCCCACATATCCTGCAACCTATTCCAATGGTTGCCAAAAACACACCCGAGTCCTTTCTACCCATCTTGATTTTATTTCTTGATGTACTCCTGGCTAAACCTACTTGTTTGATAGGGGATCATATCCTATTCCATCTTGTCTTATCAGCAGTCTAAGTCTGTTATTCACATGGGCATCCCTTTATTCCTTACTTTTGTGGTTACTTTTCCTTATTTGCTATAGTCTCTGTATTATACTTAAATACTTCTCTCAAAATAGATTTGATCATTATACAAGGAAATTTAAGGACAACATGGAATCTGGCACAATTTAAAACATAATAATTAACTACAAGTAATCAATATGCAAGGCAAGAGACAAATATCTAACATACAAATTACACAAATAAACTTTAACAAATCTCTGTAAATAAATAAATAAATTTCATTAACAACAGTGCTTTGTGTTGATTTTACACTGACAAAAAATGTAAAGTTACTAGTTTTGATCCACCCTGTATTATATCTATATAAATATTTAACTTATCATTTACATGCCTTACCATCCGGTCATTACATGAAAAAAAGACTAATATAATTTTAGCTCTAAAAACACATGTCATACCTCACTTAACTTTTTCTATTATAACTAATAACATGTTCATAGCATCAAAAAACCATTATCTAGCAATTTAAATCTCATCAATGCTAATTTGATGTTGATAAATCATGAAATCTAAACTTTAATGCAAATATTGCCAATGTGTTTTTATGTTGAATAAATTTTGTACATAATCACCATCATATATACACATTGTATATAACACACACACGCACACACACGTACCAGTTTATATATATATATATATATATATATATATATATATATATATATATATATATATATATATATATATATATATATATATATATATATATATACGTGTGATGTCGTTCATACGTACATGTTTACTGTATCGTGCCTTTCTTCACCATTCCCTACAATCCAACTGCAGGCTGGGTGTGAAGAATTCAAGTGGTTACCTTTATTATACTCTATTACACTAATCCTTCGAAACAAATTCCATTAAAAAGACTCAGTCACTGGATATATATCTATAGAAAATCAGGGACTGATGTGCCTGGCACCCCCTTTTTTTGATAATTGCTCAACCATTCAAGGTAGATAAATTTTCCTCTTCGAAACTGCACTTACATTCTTTTTAATTCTACAGGTGTAGTATCAAGTTACAAAGTTTCTATTCAGCATCTTATTCATTTTACCATTTCCTGGCTTTCATCAGAGAACTCATTTCTACCTAAGTTTTTTTCTCTGTTTTTAAAGAAACTTGAAAATTACTGTTGGTTTTCCAAGGGTTATGGGTTGGATATCGTATTGAAGAAAGAGGGCCTCAATCAGTTCAACCACAATTTTCTTCTTTTGTATGTTTTTGGATTAACCACCCACTTCTTTTGAAAAATTCAATATGTTCTATAAACAATGCCATCAATTTTAACTGCACAAGGTAACGACAAAAAAGTATCACGTCTTTCAAGTATGATACACAAAGAAGGATATGATAGTTCATTTTTTAAAGAACCAATTTTGCTCTTTTTTTTATCCCTTGAAAGGTGATATCAAAGCTTACTGAATTGTGCATTATGATTTTTTTCTCATCAAATTTAAATTTTTTGTTATTAAGTTATTTTGAATTTTAACAAAATTTAAAGAGGTAAACTTTTAAACAAATTATCACCCTTTTAAAACTACTGACGATGCATATATGATAGAAGAGCAGGATATTCCACATACATCAATATTATTGTAATATCCTTATCAAAACTGGTGCACATTAGTTTTATTGTGTCAAATGATTAAGTATTCATAAGCAAAAAAAAGTTAAAGAGAAATAATTCCAGTTACTGCACTGAACATCAAGTCTGCTTCATCGATAAGTGATGTACCATTTCTTTAATT